AATTACATATATTAAGGGGATTTCTATTAAAAGGTAGTTATGATTTGAGCAGCTCTTAAGGAATAATACTAAATTATTGATCCTTTCATTTCCATCACATGTTTATTTTGCAGAAGAGATTGAATTGAATAATGCATATGCATGCATGTTCATAAAAACTCAATTATTTACATTTACAGTTTTATTATTGGCACTTTCTGTCGTTGGGTTTTGATGAATTAATAAGCAAAAGGGGTGGTTTTTATTTTAATTATATATGCAGGAGTGTAGAATATAAAGGACAAAGTGCAGTGAGGTACAAGTCGGATATAAGGCAGAAATTAGAGAAGGAAGGTTACAGGATTTGGGGTAATGTGGGAGATCAATGGAGTGATATACGTGGAGACTCTACCGGCAATCGCACTTTTAAGCTCCCTAATCCCATGTATTTTGTTCCCTAACTTCCAATTTTAATGTTTCTTTTGTTTTATATGCTTTTTAGTTTGCACCATGTTTGGAAGTTCAATCTTCGTCATGGCTCTCTCACTATATGTATATCCGAATAAAAATAATATCACAATGATGCATTACAATATTAACTAATTTCCCCTTGTTTTGTTTGAATGTCTCATTAGCCCAATAGAGAAAAATATAAGGGAATTATGTTCTTTTTTTTTAATAAAAATATTTCAAACTGAGCTTATATATGTTTATGAAAGAATGACAGTTGATTCCCAAGAGCATCAATTTAATTAAAATTAGACCCTGAAAAAAGTTTCTATAAAATTAATTAAAAATAAAAAAGTCATATATTGTTTCAAATTCATGAGAATGAAACATTTATGTTTTAAATATATATTAATTTATAATTGAGAATTCTATTTGCAATTGATTTATAAATTTTTTTTTAAGAAAATTTTGTCAAAGACATGGCTGTTATAAGATTTATATTTTAAAATATAAGCACAAAGAAGGAGAAGACGCCAGGTCTTATGCCAAGAAAATTTATGTGGGTCAAGTAGGAATGAGTAATAGTAGTATATTTGACCCACAAACACAACCCAGCATGATTACGTCATCAGTCTCTCCTTTTTTGACGTGGATTTGACTCGGCCCAAACCGACCCAAATAAAGGAAGAAGAATTGGTAACTACCATTAAAAAAAAAAGAATCCGTGAAATTAAGATTTAAAAATTAGGCGTGAACCTGGCGCATTATTGAGAAATGAATTATATTAGTCATAATTTATATATTATATTATAAACTCGGTAAGAATTTATATTTTACATTTAATTTTACACTAATGGATATTGTATAGTGTGTGTGTTTAATATAAATTTTTAGGTTTATCTCTCTCTGTTTTTTTTCAAATTTTGGTATATTGTTTTATCTTAAAGAAGAAGAATAGAGAAGGAAACATTATTCATTTCATTGCAATATATATTATAATACGGAAAAATTGCCTACAGTAGCGACGAATTCCGTCAAATTTTGAGTATATATAAAGCTTGAGCAGCTTCCATGGCAGCCACTTGAAGCTGCTTCTTCTTTTCCTCTTCTTCTTCGTAACAATCCCCGTTTTACTTTCAACACAATATTCAGAGTTTTCACCATGGCTCCCTTAGTAAAAGCCCATTATCCTCCACCCCAACACCAATCCCCCACGCAGTCTCCAACATCCTCGTATTCAGCGCCTCTGATCTCCGAAAACGGCCGCCGCCAAATACACATCTCCGACGATGCTCTCCGAGACCGAGTTCCACCTGCAGTTCATCACAAACATACCACTATGTTTGGCACGGGCTTTTCGAAGGGAGGGAGTGCTCCTCTCCCCTTTTTGGCTGGTGCAATTTTTTAAGAGGAGAGGGGAAGCACCCCTCCCTCGTTTGGTTAAGATATTTTTTAAAGAGGAGAGAGACTCTTCTCCCCTCCTCTTTTTTTTTTAGTCTTCCCTCCAAAAGTGAGGTTTTTTTAAGGGAATATGAGAGATAATATTTTAATTTTTCATATACCCTTTCGATTTGTTAACCCCTAATCAATCATGAACATTTCTACATGAGAGAGTTCTTTTGAGTATCTAACAAGAGGTTGAGATAATTGTCTCCAAAATTAGTAAGCATTTGTAAACCTTTTATTTTTTCTTCTTCTTCTAATTCCAAGAGGCCGTCGGTATTTTCTTTCACCTTCAAGGTTTTTTCTCTGATTGAAATCTATCACTCATGACTCTCTATCTTGATATCCTATAAATGTGTGACTGTATCTTGTAAATCAAAATTGGTGAATTGCATTATATATATAGTTATATCTTAACAAAATAAAAAGGTGAGAAAATTCATTTAAATTTTATGATTTTAAAATAGTCAATTTTTTATTAGAACAAAATAAGGTATTATTAAAATTGCTCCCTCCCCCAATCAATCCAAATAGGAGATCATTAAAATCCCTCTTTCCCTTCCCCTTCCCTCCCTTTTCCTCCCCTCCCTTTGGACCTACCCTCCTCTTTCTCTCCCTTCCCTTTCCCTTCGTCGAGCCAAACACAGTGTTCATGTTTGAGGTGCCTGTGAAACACCCTCGCCCTTTGTTCTTGTTTGTTCTCATTAAGAATCCTCGAGGTAGTTTGTTTTTCAAAATCTCACCCCTAACACACTGTGTTTGGTATGGGGTTTTCAGAGGGGGGGAAGTGGCTCCCCTCCTCTCGTTTGGCTGGAACATTTTTTAATAGAGGGAAGAGAGTTGTCCCCTTCCTCATTTGGCCAAAACAATTTTTAAGGAGGGGAAGGGCTCCATTCCCTCCTTTTTTCCTCTTGGCCTGTCCTCTAATAAAGGTGGGGTTGTTTAAATGGGAGATGATGGAGAAAATATTTAATTTCATAACTAGCTTAGTAAAATAACATAATTTCTCTTTTATCCTCTCTTTGGCCCTTTTATTCTACACTTCTCTCTCAATCTTACAATTTTAATAACTCTAATAAACTGAACTTCATTCTTCTATTATATTCAACAATTCAACTAGAAAAGTCAAACTACTTAAATATTGCTAAAAAAATATGAAATGATAAAAATCATTGGGACAAAAAAAGAAACGATGAAGAATTATAATATTTTTGAAAAAGTCAATATAGAGTTATATTAACTTAAGCTAGATTATAAGCATCTTTTAATTAGTTAAAAATTAAAAAAATAAGGAAATAAAAGATAAAAAAGGTTAAAATGTAATTTTTCTTTTGAAATCCAGTAGAATCAACAATAACATTATGGAAAAAAATTTGATTTCAATTTTGTTTTTTTTTTCCCTAGAGAGTTGTGCTTGTGGCAAAAGCACAACCTAGTGTTTTTTGTTTTTCAAGTTGATAAATTGCCTCATACATATTAATAAAATAAAAAAATAAAAAAAATTATTTAAATTTTATAAGAGTAAAATAGTTAATTTTTGAAGAGCTCTCGTTCCTTCCCCTCTTATGCCAAATAAAGTATCATTAAAATACTTTCCCTTCCTTCCTCTCTGATTAATCTAAACAAAGGATTATTAAAATTCTTCTCCTCTCCTCCCCTTTCTTCCCATCCCCTCTATATCTCTCCTCCCTTCCCGTGCCCTTCCCTTTCCATCCATTGAAATCTCTCCTCTCCCCTTCTCTCTGTTGAGTCAAACACAACGTAAATGGCCAAATGAAATGGAAGCTACATTCCTCTAAGGCCTCTGCAAGAACATATTAATGAATTTGACACCATAGTTTGGAGGAGTAAGATCATCATTTGATGAAAGTTCAGCTTTTGAGAAAATCTATTCAACAAAATCACTTTTTTTTTTTTCCAAATCTCGTGTTTAGGTATTATTAAAAGTGCTTTTTAAAAAACACTTTTTATAAATCAAGATAAACTCTTCCACACATTTATTTCATGTACCATAAAAATATTTTTAAAAACTATGGTTTTATTCTATTCAAACACCCCTAAGTCAGTAACTTTTACTTCTGAAGACCCAATAAAGAAATCTAGGTTTTCATCTTATCTCCATTGCAATCTACTACCTCCTGTGTGTAATATATAAAAGTTAGTTTAACTTTTAATTCAATCTTAAATATAAATTATCAATTTATTTTATTCCTTATATTTATTCATTTTTCTCAAATTACTCCTTGTAGTGGTTGTATATGCCAAATATAATATCTATTCATTATAAATAATTAACTTAACAAACTTTTTTAATCTACTCAAATAAGTCAATTATGAGAGTATTTTTTCTCTTAAGGGTATATATGTCTGTGTAAATATGAGAAAGACAGAATGAGGACCCACGGTCCAAAAAAAGGAACCCACGTGGCACCCATTTCTTCTGCCACATCAGCACCAAACCATAAGAAGTAAGAACGCATCAGTATCATTAATCAAACATCTAAACCTCTTCCCCGTCTCTTGCACCACCTCGTCCATGGCTGTCCTATAATTCTCAGTCATCGCCTTCAAGAACAAGTTTCTAAGTTCCAGCGGTGCCCTGCCGCCACGAACCCTCTGGCAAGCCTTCGTGGACCCTATAAGGTCTCACTCTAGCGCGAAGCTTCGCGGTGTTGAATTCTGCGATGACAGAGGCTATGGATTCTGCTGTGCTGAAGAATGAGAACGTGATGTTTTAGAGAAGAAGATGCAATTTTCTGAATACCAAAACGGCGACGTTCGCGACGTGCACCGTCACATCATTCAGAACCTATAAAATGTAGCAGCTTTCTATCATTAATGCAGTGTTACTCTTCTAGTTATATTTATAAGGCAGATTGAAGGTTTTTCTTGATTTTATTTATAAATTATCTTATTAAATTTTTACTATAAATGTACTATTTTCTTTCATTTGTTATAGTATAAATAATAATTTTTCAGTGTATATATTAAATAAAAATGAAGTTAAAAATTCCTTATATTTTAAATACTCTATAACTATGATCAAGGGAGTATATCTGAGTATGAAAAATGAATCTATTATCATTCATCAATATAAGATATAAAACTTACACCAAGTCCTTTGTAAAAACTATGAATAACTTTTTTCTGAAACTCTAAAGCCCGACCAAGGATTTGGTATATAGTTTGTAGTTAATTATAAGAACATTCGATGGGAGGTACAGGGTACCTAGTTTTATCAGAGCAATAATCATAAGTCATATACTTGTTCTTAACATTTTGATAAGCAGCTTGTCTCTGAGGATCCAACTGCCAGAACTGTTGCTTATTCCACCAGAACTTGTTAGAAGCACAATCATTATTATTACTGCTTGAGGGTTGAAGTTGGCAGCCATTAACATCAAAAGCTTGAAAGAAAGCTTTGAAAGGAGCAAAGCTCCAATTGGTTTTGGCTTTGCCTCCATCAGTGGCCCAACTATCTCCATCCCATAACGTTGCTTCGATTTGCATTGCCTTTGATGGGTATGCCACTCCCTTATTGCTCTTGTTCTTGTATACCCTTATTGGGATATCATCCACATAAAACCTGCCAACCCCATCAATTCTAATAATTATCTAGAGAATACACACACACACACACACGTGTATCACTTATACTGGCCAAAAAGGAGAAAAGCTTAGTTTGATTAATTCCTTGTGTCTCTATCTATATAATTTGTGAAATGACTTTAGGTTTCAAAGTCTTAAAATTGAATGGCGCCAACTCTACATATCAGAAGAAAAATTATTTGTCGAGTAGGAAAAATTATATTATTATATACTACCCTTTGACTTTAATATAAGATATATTAAACTAATTTGGGTTGATTAAAAAAATAATTATATTAGTTATTTGTGTTGATTGTCCTAAAATACCATTTTAAATCATTTGGATCATAACTATATTTTGATACAAACTTTCTTAACATATACAATCAATAGGGTTAGTTTGGATAAACAAGAAAAAAAAAAAGAATTGAAGTATTATATTTAAGACCAAATTCAACTTCTCTACTAGTTTTTATGTTAACTGAAGGTAATGCCCATATATATAAAAAGTAGGTGTTGCGATTTAGTGCACGGGGGGAAAAGTACATATATAGGGATCATACTCTACATTAATGGATAGTAAAACTCGCAATGATGTTGCAGCACCAAAGTGTTTGCAGGTTGAGAGAATTGACTTTTAAGTTTTATAAAACCTACTATTGAGTTTCAGAAAAATTTCTTTCAAAGTTACATAATAATCATATATATTGAACACTAGATGCAAACTTCAATTATTAGGAATAACAGCAGCTTTATAATTACACATAAGTTTTTATGGTATTATTTTATTTTCAAATTATAAGGATTAACTGCGTATGATTATGAAGCTTTAGAGATAAATAATAAATTTTAAAGATCAAAGCAATAACCAAAATAAGTTTTAAGAACTAAAAATTTGATCATGATGATGAGAAACACGTACACTAGTTGGTGGGGGTTCCAAAGAAGTTTGTAATCGTGAAAATCAGCAGAGGGATCAAACCAAAGACGAATTCGTTGTTCTTTGTTGCCTTTGCCATCTGCGAACACATTTGTCTGTAACGTGTAAGGCTTGCCTTCTCTATTCCCCAAGAACTCAAAGTCCACTTCGTCATGTCTCTCTCCTTGGGATGTCAGCTGCACATCAAATATATAATTAATTACGTCACATTATTCTCTCATATCTCAAATAATTATGGAAAAATCATTATATGCTCTTAAGAGAAAAAAATGTAATTACTACAAAATTTCATAACAACTTTCAGTGTAAAAAATGATAATAAAGTTTTTGCTGATCACTTGTATATTGAGACTTTTCGGTCAATAAATTCTTCTTTTGAGATCTCATAATGATTTTCTCAATATTTATGTGCTCCTGAGAAAGCAATGCAATTACCAAAAAGTCACATAACAAGTAAGCATAGAATAAGTTTTAGGACAGAAAATAACAATAATTAAGATGCATCCTGGTTACTTGTAATTGAGACTTGTTGACAATTATATTATTCTCTTGACACTGCTTATAATGATTTTCCCGATGTGTATCATCAATTATAAAACATCCTATTATTTTCATCCCTATGCATGAAAGCTTCAATGCTTTTTTTTTTTGTTAATAATAAAAAGATTAATTATATAAACTGAAGAGAATTACACATCTTTGTACATGTCAAATTAAGGCTTCAATACTTAAGTGATGAGAATTAAATGCTCACATAGTAAGCTGTGACTACTCCAGCGGAATCTCTGTCTGGTACTTTTATCTTCAAATGGAAAAACCCTGACCCGTAATTCATCTTGGATCCAAAGCCAGACCCTGTCAAGAAAACACATAAAAAGAAGAAGAAGAAGCATAAGGCAGAAATCAATATAATTAAACGGGTCAATATATAATTAATAAAAAATTGATCAAGAATTGATAAGACTGATTTTTTGTTTTTAATATACTATTTTAATAAATATTATTAAAAAGTATAATTAAGCATAAAGTATATTATCGTAATTATAGTTAAGCTGATCGCACGTCTCAGTCTACGGTCATAGCAGAATCAATAACTTTAAATTAATGAACCTATTAGTTTCAGTAACTGGCTCAATTTGTAATTAGATGGAAGGCGTGAGAATTAGGTCCTATATAAATCTAAATTTCTTAATCAACTCTCTCCTATACGCAATTTAGATAATCGGTATTAATGATTTCAATGGGTTAGATCTTTAATTATTCCGCGTTGAAAATATAGGATTATGATAATATAGAGTTTTTGTCAATTTTTAATCCTCCAATTTTTATGTTGTGCCAATTTTTCAAACATGATTTCCCCAAAAATAATTCCTTTCTAACAACCACCTAATTTCTTAGCCATATCCAAATTTACCTAACCATAACGTACAGTCCTTAATTAAAGAGAAAGAAGAACTTACAAGTTCATGCGTTTTTTTAATAAACGTAATTAAATAGCATTAACAAAAAATAAATTTAGAAAAAGCATCTGAATTAAAGTGGATAGGTTTAAGTGTCGTTTGTAATTCTTTTTCATTATCTGAATGTATGAACATGAAGGGTTTAATTTAGTTTGTTAAACATCATCGCCAAGGTTAATTACACAATATAGTTTTGATTATGTTTAGTTTATTACGAAAAAATGATTATTTGTCGCAAATTAAAATTCACGAGCCCAATATTTGCATGTCTTATTATGTGCTTTAATAATGAAGTGTTATGAAGTCACAAGGTCGTTGAATTGTATGGCAAATGATGATTGGTAAGATATGACATCTTAACTAGATCATTGTACTATTTCAGTTGTAATTTTTTTATTAGGCATTTAATCATTTAAGTGTTTTGGACTCATGGACCATAAAAAGGTCATTTGGACTTTCTGGCTTTCTGCATTGGAAAGTTGAATAAAATTTGAAGCTAATATTTTTTATTTTTGTTCCTGAAATTATATTTGACTTTATTTTAAGATTTTTGATATCGGAAATAAGGTTTTAAGAACTAAAACCATTGGTTTCAAATTTCAAATAGTATTAAAAATGATATTAACACAAAAAACAATTTTTCTAGAATCAGATTTGTTATCTTTTCTTCCTTTAATTTTCAAACCTAACACCATAAAGATCAGTGACTATTAAAGAGAAAGATTCATAGTTGTAGAAACACGTTGCAGGCATATAAAATTTAATTAACATAAATAAAACTAAGGACGAATGAAAAATTTATATTGATAATCAAGAAAGAAAAAAAATTATATACTCCTCTGGTCCTTAATATAAAAGCTATTTAACTAATTTGATTAGATTAAGAAAGTTAGGTAAGGTAGTTAATTATAAGAATTATGACATGTTTTTCTAAAATATTATAATCATTTTTCTTAATATCCTTCCTCCCTCTTTTACTTGATTATGATTGAGGGAGTATACACATGGGTAATTTAGAAAAATTTGATAAATATGAGAAATAGGTCTTATATTTATGATTAAAATCAACTCAATAATTAGGTCCTATATTAAGGACCGGAGGAGTACTTTTTTTATCTCTCTTGATTTAGTCCTTATAATTTAAAATTTTGTAATTTTTGGTATTAAAAAAAATCGAACATTTATATTTGAGTCCTTAGTGTCTAATTAATTCATAATATAGCGCGTATTTGTCATCATTTTGTCAAACATGTAATAAGTAATATTGCTTCATTGTTTATATTATATATTATCATCAGCATATACACCAAATAATTTATTGGACAGAATAAGTTTGAAAGCTCGTAAAATATGTTAATTCAATTAAAAAAAATTCTAAAACAAAGAACAATTGAAAATTTGAGTGCAGATACTTTTATATATTGGATCTTTTTTTGTGCCTTTGGTCACACACACACACACACACATATTGCAAAATGATTTACCAGCAATATATAGAGGATAATAATATTTTCAATGCATGCACAACCAATCTTGTTTTATACAGTTTTCAAACAATAAATCTGCAAAACTGGTTATGTTCTCTCTCTGCAACTTTTTTCTTTTCTGTTAATTCTAAGCTAACTGGTTTCAAGTTAACTCCAATTCCAAGTGAAAATTACACGTTTACTTATGATAATTAAAAAAAAACACATACATTAAACTGAACAAAAATCATCAAATGAAAGAGAAGGAATAATTAAGGCGGAAAAAGAAAACAAAATACCTGAAGCTTTGTCCATGGAGAGCTGGATTTCTTTCCCTTGGTTCAAATACACAACATGGTCTGCTCCCCAAATAACCTTGTAGTTTTCATCAAACACTACTTCTCCATTCCTTCCTCTCGCAAACACAGCTCCAAAAACCAGAAACGAAACCAAAACAAATACCAAACAACTCATATTGATATCAAAGCAAAGCTTTAGTGTTTCGAATGCTATGGGAGATATATATATATATATATATATATATATGAAGGCTAGCTAGCTAGCTTCAATCTGAGTTAACACTTTGATGTGGTTGTTTGGCCAAAAACTTCGGTGTTTATATATATATACATGATGAAGCAGACGTAAGCTATGATCGTCCTATGAAGACATTAAAAAGCAAAAAGAAGTCATGACCCATAATTTCCTAACCAATACGTTATTGACTCATCAACCCTAGCTAGCTACCATAACATTATCCTCCATAACCGAACCCACATCATCGACGTTATCATCATCATCATATTGATCGAGTTTGGCGTAGTTTGGAAGCAACGTTAATAGAGACTTTATTAATCGCCTACATACTCATTAATATTCTGTTAATTTCTTTGATTCAAACGCAAGTGAATCCATATCACTATATAAATATATATATATATATATATATATCCAAACAAATTCTGAGAGGACACCTCTTATCTAGAAAGGTTTGTTACTACTTACTAATAATCATTAATTAGCACATACTATTTGGATCTAGTCAGGATGCATAGTTTTTATTTATTTTTTAAAAAATCGATATGCAAGTTCCTTTAATTTCACTTCATTTTTAATTTAGTCTTTGTAGTTTTTTTTTTAATTCAGTCCTTATAGTTTCCTCAATTATAAGTATTGTTTCTTATGTTCATAATTTGCTAATCCTTTTTTTTATAACAAAATTTTAGGAAAGGGATTAGGCTTACTTACTATCCAAGGGCAAGGCAACTAATCCCTTACCTTAGCCCTACCCAGTGCCATAGCAAATAAGACGGGGAGAGTTCCATATGAGATATCACCGCATGTTACTAGTTGAAGCATTGGCTTTGAAGATGCCTCCTCCAACATCGTGACGCGCATGCTCTAGGGCTGAACCCACTCCCTTAGTGAGTGTGTCCAACCCCTTCCACCTGTAAGCCCACAGATGAGGGCTTCATAATTTGCTAATTTGTAACAGAAACAGTGTTAGTAACTAATGACTTTAGCCCTCATTCAACATATACTCGGATTATTTTAGTCATATTGATCTAGATAAAGTCAAAATCAACCAGGTGACATATTATATATACATGTAAGGAGATGGTTATAAGGATAATACTCGTCTAGTTCTTAATATAAGATCTCTTTAGCTAATTTGATTAGATTAAATAAGTTAGATAAGTTAGTTAATTATAAGAAATATGACATTTTTTCTAAGACACCATAATCATCCTTTTTAATATCCGTCCTCCCTCTTATATTTGATTATGGTTGAGGGAGTATCCATAAAGGTAATTTAGAAAAAAATTGATCAATATGAGAAATAGGTCTTATATTTAGGACCAAAATCAACTTAACAATTAGGTCCTATAGTAAGAACCGGAGGAGTATTTTTTTATTTTTACTTTGATAGTAAACAAATTTTATCCCACAATTTTATTTTTGTTTTTTATTTTGTTTTGTGGTAACTCTACATGGGCTTTAATTAACAGATTATAAGCTCATGGACTAATACTTATCATTGATAAAATTGTAATAAGGGCCCAATATAAAGACAAAAAATTGAATGAAATTTTTTGAAATTCATTTGTTTAGATTTATTTTGGACGATTTTAAAATTTTTGGAGTTTTAATTCAAATAATTATATTTATAAGTATATATTTTACAATGTTATTATCCTAATTCTACTTTATCATTATTTTACAGCTTGATTCTTCCACGGTGCAAAGATTTTACAATTTAATAACAAAATTTAATTTGAACCCTTCAAATTTTATTTAGTTGATTAGGTTTTTTTTTGGTTGCATTCAATTAAATCGTCATTTTCTTTATAAGTAACTTCAACAGATTCTTTTTAATTTTATTCAATGACCAACTTAATCAGTTTGTTAATTAAAAGTTTGAGCTTGACGTGTAAGTGACTTGGCTACAAAAATGATTGGTACTCATCACATAAACATTAATTAGTTGTGTATCTCCAAAATCATAGAGGCATATTAAAGTCGGTATGATGGACAAAGTTTGGAATCTTAATGACTGATTTGTGAAAGAAAAGAGTTCTTAAATTATGTCATAGTTAGTTACGTATCAATCTTTTATTTCATAGATTGATGTCACATTGCATAGAGAGTGATGTTTGTTATTATTGTCTTGTTAGGCTGCTACTTATCATGACTTTGTTCCCCATACTCAAGCTAGGTGTAGACTGTCTGACCCAAAAAAAAAAAAAGAAAAGAAAAAAGGTATGAATTTGCTTAATGCATTATAAAATTCTATAAAAAATGAAATGAATTAATCATTATTTATAAAAAAATTACTGAAAAATTTGCAGTCATACTATTTATTACTCACAGCTACTTAATAAATTTAGGTTCTTGAGTGGGTGAAACTGTTTTTTTATTTCATACATAATTAAAAATATGTTACAGATAAGTGAGCAAGAGCTATAGGTTGTACTAGGTTTTTAAACAGATGTCATCTTTTTGTGGATAATAGATTTTCAAATGGGGGACTTTTAGTAACTTTTCCTTATTTATAACTCTTAATTCTTTTGTAAATTTTATAGTTCTTTTGTGGATTTGTTTTGAGGCTGATTGATGGCTATGAATGTACTTATTTTATTATGATTTTAAAAATGTATAAAAGTCCGGGTCTTATTTTAATAATTTAGAAGTAACCTAAAGCTTTAGGTATTACTCCTCCGGTCCTTAATATAGGACCTAATTTTTAAGTTGGTTTTGGTCCTAAATATAAGACCCATTTCTTATATTTATTAATTTTCTCTAAATTACCTCTATAGATACTCCCTCAACCATAATCAAGTAGAAGAGGGAGAGGAGGTATTAAGAAAGATGATTATGGTGTTTTAGGAAAAATATCTAACTTTTCTTATAATTAACTAACTGACCTAACTTCCTTAATTTAATCAAATTAGTTAAATTGGTCTTATATTAAGGACCAGAGGAGTATTATTTTTTATTCAGATATTCTTAGCTAAAAATTATGAGATTAAATAAATACAATTTTAACTAATATCTCTCTATAAAAGCAGGGTTTTCTCTATTTTTTTCTCTCCTATTTGTTTTCTTTTCTCTATCCGCACTATTTAAATTAAATTTGAATTGTTAAGTTTCAATAGTTTTAGAGGTGCAGTTAAATTTATAGTTGCATTATTTGGATAAAATTTTTTATTTTTATTTGGAGGTAATTAGGTTTATGATTAGAAAAAAAAAAAATACTTAGGTCATGTTCTTTATATTCATTATGTTAAGTTCTCCAATCACATATGATCATGTGTCCTTTTTTTTTAATATGAATTTATAATTAAATGCTATTAAATGTTAATATTTTATTGACTTAACATAATGAATATAAAAAATTTAATGTAAGTATTTCCTTATCATTACATTAATGCCAAATAAACTTTTCTTATATGTTTCCCATGTAAATAGAATGTACAAAGGAATAGAGATCAATATATGTAATATATTTAAAAATTTGCATCATTTATATTTTATGAATAATATAATTTATTCTTTCCAAAAACAATTGTGTCATGCATTTTTTTCTTGAACCATGTGTCATTCAATGAGAAGTAATTTTATTTGAAACATTATAAGTAATTTTATTTGAAACATTATTGAATACTAAATGTGAACATTTTTCTAGGCAAAAATTTGAATATTAATTCATCATAAAGTCAAAGATATTATAACCCATGAAAAAGTTAGATTGAGCTCGCCGTTCCACTGTGAATCACTATGAATCAAGCAGGTCCAATATTTGCTATACAGATTGGACCTAATACAAAAATATGGGCTTTGCTGATTAGACTTCATGTAACAAGGCCCAAGATTGGATCGGCAAATTCAACAGCCCAAACTTCATTTGTGGGTTAAAATTCTGGATTTCAGACAATCTAGAGAGTACCAAAAAGGGCCATCAGAATATCAGATGATCCATACACGTCCACGTTTGAACAACATTCTTCCTGCTTTCTATGTTCTACAGATGCCTTTAAAAACTATTTCCTGTAAAAGAGCATGTGCCATTATAAAATAGAATCGAGTCCAGGGGCACAGCCAGCTAGCTTCGTCTGGCCATCCAGTTCAGTTAGCAGCAAGTGAACTCCATCAAAACATGGGTGAGATTTATCAAATGCTGCAAACTGATGAATTTTCTTTTTGATCTCAACCCAGCTAGAACCAGGACATCTCTTTTCAATACCCAGCTCCTTCATGTCACTTCGGATTTTTGCAACCTCACTCCACCGAGTAGCTTCAGCATACATGTTAATAAGGAGACTGTAATACCCACTGTTATCTGGCTCCAGTTTTGTCAGATTTTGTACTGCAATATGAGCGACTCCCAGGTTTTTGTGAAGTTTACACCCATTCAACAAGGCACCCCAAATAACAGAATTAGGTTCAAATCTCATGCTTCTAATAAGCTCTAAAGCATCCTCAAGCAAGCCAGCCTTGCTCATCAGATCCACCATGCATCCATAGTGCTCGGCTTGAGGAGTGATACGATAGTCCTGGATCATGCTCACAAACCGCTGACGGCCCTCTTCCACAAATCCTGCATGGGTGCAAGCACTCAAGATACTGATAAATGTTATTGCATTCGCTTTGATTCCTTTCCTCTCCATTTTATCAAACATTCTTAAAGCTTCTTGAGCATAGCCATGTACAGCAAGCCCTTCAATAATAGAATTCCAACAAAAGAGGTTTTTGTTATGCAATTTGTAGAACACCAAAAGTGACCTATCTAAGTTCCCACATTTTGCATACATATCAATCAGAGCAGACCCCATGTAAACATCAAGATCAAACCCATTTTGCATCACGTAAAGGTGAACCTCCTTTCCTATGTCAAGTGCTCCTAGATGGGCACAGGCTGCAATGACAGTGGTCATAGCCACGTCATCAGGAGTAAAACCACTATATATCATGCCATGGAATAGTGAAATTACATCATGAAATCTTTGGTTCTGAGAATAACAAATCATCATGGTTGTCCATGAAATTATATCCCTGGAGGGCATTTGATTAAACAATAACTCTGCAGACTTAAAATTCCGTGATCTAGTATATCCATCAATCATGGTATTCCATGTTGCAACATTTCTTTCAGGCATTTTATCAAACAACCTCTGTGCAGAATGCATATCCTCATGGCGGACATGAGCTTTAATCATTGTTGTCCAAGCAAAAACATCTTTTTCAAGCATATCATCAAAGATCTTTATTGAGCCCTTGATGTCACCCAAAGCTGAATAAAACTCAACCAAAGTAGTCTGAACAAACACGTGCAACTCAAATCCATGCTTCCAAATGTGGCTATGAATAGCTTGGCCGAAACATGAATCCAACAATAACGTAGAAGCCTTAACTAAGGAAGAAAACGTGTAACTGGTAGGTTTCAGTTGATGTTGCAGCATATGTGTATAACATACCAAAGCCTGCTCTGAGTAACAGCAATGAACTGAGCCTCTAATCAATGCATTGTAAACAAAAGTATTAGGACTTTCCATCAGATGAAAAGCAGAAGTTGCAAAATCTATGCAAGAAAAGATTGAACAATAACTCATAAATTGGTTCATCAAGAAGCAATCTTGGTTGGCATTAGTCTTGATCATGGAAGCATAAATCGATTCTAGTGTTTTTAGCGTAGTGCAAGCCTTCAGTTGGTTGAGATATGCCTCTGATAGAGTGTGTGAGTGGCGGTGCTGTAGAACATGCTTCAAAATTGAAAATTTCAATACCATCACCTCAGTAAACAATTTACGCTCTAGGGTGAGCAAGGTCTACTTAGCCATTAAGCACTGTCTTCATTGCCCCCAGACACCAAAGTAGCTGACACATTCTGAATATCAAATCCTGCCAAATCACAAAACATAGAGTTCATTTACTATTTTCCGCTTGCTGTTTTCAAATGGTGAACTTTAAGTAAACACTTAATGCTTATTTTCTGAATTACAAAAAATACAAGAGTTTTGCATTTTGCTTTCTATTAACCTCATTTATATGTCTTGTTTCTTTACTAGTTTAAACATCTGTCTATCCAGATTACACATCAACTGAGTTAAATAAATGAAGATTTACAACGAACAAATAATTCTCTTAAGTGGGCTTCATTTACTGGAAGCCAATTATACCCAATTTGGCAAAACCTAAGTTATTTGAAGCCGCTAATTTGATATTACAACTATATTTTCTGTTATCGTATGACGGGAAAATATCATTTTTACTGACTTAGGGGAAAATTATTGAGGGAAACCAAAAAAATTAATTGTTGTACACAATTTCAAAAATTATTCACTTCCCCATGCCAAAACCAATTTCACAGCCTCCAATGAATTGAACCATATAAACAGCAGACACAAAACAGAAAAACAATATAAAGAGAGAGAAGATTGTAGATACTACCTGAAAATATGAGCAACGAACTTAGTTCATTTAACAAAAGAAAGATTGGGCTCAGAAGATATAGCTTGATTTCGGAGAATAGCATTCTTTTAGAGGTCTTTAATTCCCTACTGTTGAACAGGGCTTCACCTCTTGGTTACTGCAAGTGCGAAACAAGTGAGAAATGCAATTTTGTTTGCGAACGGGAGTTCTTGCTTTGGGCTTCGCAAGCACTGTCTACATATTGTTTAGAGAGAGAAAAACCGAAAGAGAGGGAATGAAGAGCAGGACATGGCTCCAACAGGGGAAGCCGGAGAACAGAGATGACCCAAAAAAGTATGTTTTTTCTCTTGTATAAAAATTAGAAAATTAATTTTATCTAAATATTTTAATTGGCTGAAACGACGCTCTTGAACTTGTCGTTTACAACCTTTTCGTTCTGCTTCACTTCTCATTTGGTGTTTGTGTTTCCCCGCTTCTACCGCAGTTCTGAAGAGTTTCTACTTTCCACATTACAAGTGAGCGCTCTGCGATGCTGGGAGTCAGTGTTGGTAGAAGAAGGTTGAACCTGAAAAGTTTGAACGTGTTGGGATTATGGATACTTCAGAGAAAGCAGAGTATAGTATCAGTGTCATCATCGTTCTCAAGAGCCAGAGCCCCCCTTGATATGGCGGCAAAAGATGGTGAGCTGCGAGTCTTCATTGTTGCTGGTGAGGTTTCAGGGGATTCTATCGCTTCTCGTCTCATGGCGTCCTTGAAGAATCTGTCCCCTTTTCCTGTCCGTTTTGCTGGTGTTGGAGGGTAGGCTTTTCTTCGTCCTTGAATTATCCCAAAGTAAAACATATTATTGCCGTGTATTTGGAATGTTATGCATTGTGAAAGTTTGTTACTTGAATTCGGCTCTGTTGATTAAAAAATACTTTTTTTTTTTTTTTTGCGTCTAGCTGTTTCTTGCTTAATTAATGAAGGAACCCTCAGTTTAGTCCCAAAAAATGGGTCCACTTTCCATTTCTTTGAATTCAGCCTCTAATCATCAGAATGCTTTGAATGTTTCCATTCAGTCCAACCGATTGCTGACATGGAGTGAGCAATTGAAGTGTGAGTTAACGGTGCTATGTAAACCTCCAAGACAGAAATATGAGATTTTGCATTAATTTATGGTTGAAAATTGGATTGAATAATAACATGGAAGACGTGTGTTTATTCTAGATTATAGGACTGTTTCCTTCTAATTCATAGTTTGTTCGTGTGCCTAGCATTGATCGAAGCCCCAAATATTCCTTCCAGGGATGATTTGTGCCATTGTAACCTCGAGTTTGAGTCAATGGACAATTTTATCAAACAAGTCCTTTTATTGTATCTATTTCAGGAATAAGATGTCCAGTGAAGGATTGAAATCTTCGTTTCCTATGGAGGATATTTCATTTATGGGAATATGGGAGCTACTGCCCTATTTGTATACTATCAGAGTGAGTGATGGCAATGAAGAATCTTGTCAATTTGATTTACTGTTGTAAACTGCACCGAGGTTTTATTTATTATATATATTATTTAATGTTTGATGTAAATACGCTTCTATGCGAATGTGTGAATCGGTATATATTTGTTTGAGAGAGAGAGATATATACGGATATACTTTTACAAATGTGTTTTGTTTTCACTTTATCAGGTGAAATTGAAGGAAACTGTTGAGGCAGCAGCTAAATTTGATCCTCATGTTGTATTAACAGTTGACTCAAAGGGTTTTTCTTTTCGGTTTTTGAAGCAGCTAAGAGGTACTCATGCACTATCTTGCTGGAAAAACTGATGCATATTTGTTATTGAGAGGCATGCCATATGCAGCAAATTGAAGAATGCTTTTCGCAGCTAGATACAATCAGAAAAAATTGCCTTCACCAGTACACTTCCACTATGTTGCACCATCATTCTGGGCATGGAAAGGAGGTGAAGCAAGACTACGAGGGTTAGCAGAATTTGTGGATCAACTCTTGTGTATACTTCCAAATGAGGCTGAAATATGTAGATTAAATGGTCTAGCAGCAACCTTTGTCGGACATCCTGTGATAGAAGATGTTCTAGAGTTGAAATCGGTATGAGTGCTGAATCTTTGGACGCCAAGTTTTGTCCTTTTTCCTCGAAGGAAAAATTTCATTTATAAAACGTACTCTTGTTCCACAACTTTTTTATTATGACTTGTCTCCTATCGTTGAACTTGTTGGTTATAAACATTGGATGAATGTTCAGAGAAACAAATCATCTGCCCTTGAATTGAGGGCCGAAGGAAGTGGTGAAGATTTCCGTAGTAAACATGCAGTGCCCTCAGGTAATGTGGATCTGGAGTAGCTCCACAATTTGTTTTTGAGTAGAAGTTGTAGCCCATTGTTTAAGGTAGTGCCATATATATATATATATAAGAGCTCATGTTTCAAATCATCATTACCGCTCAAATGATTTTCTTTTCTCAGATAAATATTTGTTCATGCTTTCCTGCTTGCATTAGTGGACAATAGATGTTGGTATAGCGTGATGTGCTATTGGCAAAATTTTGGTAAAAGAAAGCAGTTGAAGTCGGGAAAGTACAACAGTAAAAAGAAACCTTAATTTTGAACTTTATTATGGCTTTCACCTTTGAAAATCAAATGTTTCATTATGTGGAGTTAAGTTGAAGTTTATCAATACTATAATATGAGTTTCTTTATCTTAGACAAATAAATTGCTATAATATCTCATTGCAATAACTTTAAAAGGAGCGACTGTCATTAGCTTGCTTCCTGGAAGCAGAGTACAAGAAGTCACCCGGATGCTACCGATCTTTGCAAACACAGTTGAGCTATTGAAAGAGACATTTCCTCGATTGATGACAGTCATTCATGTTGCATCCAATCAGAATGTGGAAGATTACATTGCTGCTGCAGTTCATAAATGGCCAGTTCCTGTCATATTGATTCCAGGTGGATCAACAAACCTAAAATATGATGCTTTTAGTGTAAGTCCTATGGTCCCTCTAGACTTCATTTACAAAGTAAAATATTTGTCTACTCATTGCGTCAGAAGATTGAACACATAGTAGAAATTTGGTTTAACCCTTCTGGTATAGGCATGGTCTTGTCAACTAGTTTAATGGCTTGCTGTAGAACATGTAAAATTTTAGGGATGATGAAGCTCTAGTGCTCAGAGAAACCAAAATATTATGTTGACATTTAAGAATTGATCTTCCATAAAGATGGTTGTTTTCTTATGTTGACGCAAATGGATGGTAAAATTTGCCAAAATATATCCTTGGACTGTGGTCTTGGCATTGGCTTCTGATTCTTCTTAGTTCCTATCTTCAACTTATATGTATTAGTAAAACGGTGTCCTGTGATTGTTGTTGATGCTGGATTCCTTCATCTTCTGGGCCTGGAAACTGCAAGCACATATAACTTTGTGAACGGTTGGTTATTGATTCTGGTTAGAGCTGTAAGCATTTTCTACATTGTGCATGACTTTCTGGCTTCATTTTCCACCTACTTAAGTTGAATGAAATCATGAATTCCAGGCAAGCAGAGTTGCATTATGCACATCTGGCACAGCAGCTTTGGAGCTTCAGCTTGCAAGAACACCTTGTGTAGTTGCATATCGAGCACATATTTTGACTGAATGGTTTATTCGGTATAAAGCAAAGATACAATACATTTCTCTGCCCAACGTTCTCTTAAATTCAGCCATTATTCCTGAAGCACTTTTTCAATCTTGTTCACCTGGGAACCTAGCCTCATTGGTCAAGTAAGAACACAAGAAAATCATTCATGCTACTTCTATTTAGTAACAGAAATTCTTTCATTTTTGGAATATTTGAGTGAGATTCTTGTTAAATATTGCAGGAATTTAATGCATGATGATGGCTGTCAAAAAGAGCAAATAGTTGCAGCTGAAAAGGTTTTCATACTTCTGCGCCCGTCGGAGAGGATAGTGCATAACATGCATCAGGGAAGCATTATCAATCTTCACTGCACTCCAAGTGCAGTTGCAGCATTGACTGTATTAAATTATGGAAGGCAGAATTCTGTCATAAATTATGGAAAGCCATGATCAACAATTTTCTGACTCATAGCCAGGCCTGAACTTATAATGGGCTAGGCCGTGTTTATGCTTGGCCTGGTGCCCAATGACATACTGGGCTGGATTGGCTAATCTGGGTTAGTTGGGCATGACTGCCCCATTTAAAGAAAGTTCAGCGCTCATATTTTTGTAACCATTGGATTATTTTGAGCTTATGATTATTTATTTTGATATGTCTTGGCGAATTCCATGCAGTGAAAATTTATATTTTTAAAATACTGTTTGGAGGAGGAAATAGGAACAAAGAGCAAGCACAGAAGGTTTGGGGTGACTTGTTGGATGCTTTGGAAGGAAAGGAATAGGAGGGTGTTCAAGGGATAGGGAAGGTATAGAGATGCTTCTGAGCTATGCACAAGTGCTGTTGAATTCAGTATTAATAAAATGATGAATGCAAGCATGCAATGAAGTAGAAAAGCACAACAGAGTGAGAGGCTTGATTAAATAGATGGTGCTGGCAAGACAATCCGGGTCAGGCTGGCTTTGGAGGTGGAATTAACATAAATAATTTTTGACATTTTTAGACAAAAATTTCTTATTTATATATACTATCTTCAGTCTTTAATATAAGAGTTAGTTGACTAATTTGAGCAGATTAAGAAAGTTTGTTAAATTAATTATTTGTAATAATTAGATGTTATCTTTCTCATAATATTCTGACTAATAATGTATATTAGTTAGAACTATCATTTGATAGATATATGCAACTGTTAATATAAATATAAGAAAGAAAATGGATAGAAATCTTATATTTAGGATTAAATTAAATATCAAATTAGTTCGTATATTAAGAAGCGGAGGTAGTATTATTTTAAATTAATTTTTAAATTTAGTTTATATGATCTAAATTGATCATTTTTGTTTAATACTTTTACTTAAAACTTAATTTAGTCATATAATCAAAATTAGTTATGTAATCTTTTTTTTTTCATAATTAGTTACGTAATTTTATAATTGATATAAATATTAAATTTAGTTTCTAACCATCTAAGTCCAACTATGAAGAAATTTCATTTACCGATTTCTTCCAACAATGCTGCTCTTGCTAGTTGGACTTAGAAACCATTGAAGAGCCCCTGAATTAATTAAGTGACCTTATTAGAGAAAAATACATGCCATGCTTCTTCCTCTTTTTTCACCGGTTCAATCAACTCTTAGGCATTGGTCATGACTGATTCTGTAAGATTTCATGCCCCTTTCTCCAGTAAAGATATTTAAAATAATAATAATATCAAGATATTGTGCAATAATTTAAAGGACATCACATAACCCTCTTTGGTTAGTCAACCATGGTTTTGTTTTTTCATATATTGATTGACAAATGACAATGACATATAAATTCAAAATGGGACCACTTCTGTGCCGTGCGTCCAAAACAAGAAGCAGAGTCAATGCAGAATGAGATAATTATCCAAATAAACAAATCACATAATAAATTTGAATCGAATTTGTTAACCTTTGTTAGTCCAAAATTGCAGCAGCCAACTTTGGCATCATTCAGGCGCAGATTATATAAATGGGAATGAATTCCACGGTTATAAAGAAAGGAGATTCGAATACCATTATCATGTCCCCAGTTACAACTATGAAACTATTATTTTTTCTTTTATTGGAGAGAATAAATTAATGAGTTTTAAATTTTAAATCTGATATTAAATCCATAAAGTCAGAATTAATAGCATCATCTCTACGCCTCAATCTTTAGTGCATTCACACAGTCACGCTCTTCTTCTTTAGTTACTTAATAAATTAGTACTACTTTGGTCTCAAGTATAAATATAAGAGCTAGTTGGAGATTCAATTTAGTTTTAAATATAAAAATCTAATCCACATTGTTTTTTATATTTATTTATTTATTTTTCTAAAGTAGTCCCATGTGATCACAGACGTTAAAGGTTTATATTCTAATGTATGTAATTAACAAGAATATTTCAGAGAAAACAACAATTATTCATTACAAATAATTAACTTAACTAATTTTCTTAGTATTTGCAAATTACTTAGTTTTAAGGACTGGAATTAGTATATTTCAAGGGCACAGTTTCATTTCCATTAGTACTAAATTGAGCATTACCATCCATTTATTCTAATAATCACGTTTTTCACAAAATTTATTATACTCAAAATCATTCTTTTCACAAAATCTAATACACTAAAATCTATTCTTTTAAATCATTTTTTTTTAAAAAAAAATCTATTTTTCAAAAGTTACTCTAAACACATATGGTGCTAACTTCGTGCATGGCATTAAGCCCAAACCTGGGATATGCATGTGTTAAAGACACGCTCAAAGACCTTTGCCACCCTTGTGATTTTACTCAATTCGATCCATATTAGTTAGGTATAATATAGTTTTCGAAAATTGGTGCCAAAAAAAAAAAAAAAAAAAGAACAAGAAGAAGAAGAGCAGCATTTAACTTAGTTAACTCATTGGTCATAGGTGTAAACCTTACTTGGGGAGATCTGATTAACAAAAGGCAGAACAAATCACAAAGGAGTTGAATTAGTCACTTTAATTAAACCACTGGCACCAAACTGATTTCAGGACAAACAACAAGGCAGCAAAATTCATGTTACCCTCTATACATTGAGTTTCACAAAATCTTTCTATAGAAATATTCATTGGTATACAATTTCATTTTACTGTTTTTTAATCTAATATCCATTGTAGAAGCTTTTCAACTAGCATTTATCTCCTTCCTTTTTTTCCCCCACATGCTTATAGTTGGCATATTTGACCAAATAAGCTGAAAAACTAACAGCTATGACTGGAAAAAAAAAAAAAAAAACCATACTTATCAGTCTCAATCTATGCCACGCTTTTTTTTTTCTCCCCCACAACACCAATCTTATAATGATGGAAAGGAAGATATCAGTGAAGTTGAAAATGTTCTGTGTAAACTCGGATCCATCTATGCTGCATACGTCCAAAAGCAATAGGCCAAATGAATATTGCAGTGGTGATGCAAAGAACAAATTAAGCAAACAGCTGTGAAGGTTATATTAAATAAATGTAAATTTAAAATGAGAATGATCTGGCGAAGTGAGAACTCATCAAGAGACAGAACAGAGTTATCATTTTCTTAGCTTATGCCATATAAAATTTGGCTCTTTGACTTCAGACCAATTAATGAATTTTAAATTTTATCAAGTCATAAATTAAAAATTCAACACATAAGTACGGGACCCATATGCAGTTTCAATTCAAGTATCCAACTATTATATGAAACAAACTTGTCTTCTCCTATCAGCAGGAGGGCATTTCAATATTTCAAATTCCCCAGCATTCACCACCTTCTGTTCTTCAACCCAACAATGGTTTTTGCTCTCTTGTCAACTCATTTTCGTTCCATATACTACCAAGCAATCATTTTTTTGTGCGTAAACTTACTTTGGCTTCAACATACCAGGGCTGCATCTGCATTAGGAAATGAGACTGACTATATGGCATTGCTCAAGTTTAAAGAATCAGTAACCAGTGATCCATATGAAGTCTTGAGCTCCTGGAATAGTTCAAGTCACTTCTGCAACTGGCATGGAATCACATGCAGCCGCAGACACCAAAGAGTCGTTGAGTTGAGGCTGCCAGGATATCATTTGCGTGGGGTTCTCTCACCCTATGTTGGCAACCTCTCCTTCCTGAGAAACCTCTACCTTCCAAATAACAGCCTTCATGGAGAAATTCCACCACAATTGGGTAGTTTGTTCAGGCTGCAGCAGCTATCTCTCAGAGATAATACATTAACAGGAGAGATTCCCATCAACCTGACAAGCTGCACTGAGCTCAGGCACTTAAATTTGTCAAGCAATAGTCTTACAGGTAAAATGCCACTCGAGCTTGGCTCTCTCAGGAAGCTTGAAAAGCTGAACTTATTTACAAATAAATTAACTGGAGAAATCCCAGCTTCCATTTGGAATCTTTCCTCCCTTGATGTTCTTTCAGTGGGTTATAACAACTTGGAAGGGAGCATACCAGAAGAAATAGGCCACTTGAGCAGATTGAGTGTTTTAGCAATAGTAGATAACAATTTTTTTGGTGTGCTTCCTTCTTCATTTTACAATATGTCATCCCTCACATTCATATCTGCAGCAAAAAACCAGCTGAGTCGAACTCGACTTCCAGACAAGATGTTCACCACCCTCCCTAATTTGCAATATTTTGCCATAGGTGATAACCAAATATCAAGTTCAATCCCAACTTCAATAACAAATGCATCCTTTATTCAACTATTTGACATTGGTTTAAACAATTTTGTTGGAAAAGTTCCAAGTCTAGGAAACCTAAAAGATTTGCAAGTGCTAAATCTGAACTATAATAATCTTGGAGATAGTTCAGACCATGACTTGGATTTTATAACATCTTTGGAAAATTGTACGAAACTAGAAAATTTGATTCTATCCACCAACAAATTCGGAGGTCTTTTACCTGACTCCATAGGCAATCTGTCAACCCAACTCATTCGACTGTACCTTGGTGATAATCAGATATATGGAACTATTCCCGAAACTTTAGGAAGGTACACAAATTTAATTGCCTTGGTCCTGGAATACAACCAGTTTACAGGCTCAATTCCAGCATCTTTTGGAAAATTGAATAATTTGCAAATATTAGGCTTGGGGAGAAACCAACTTTCTGGAGAGATACCAGCCTCCTTAGGCAATCTCAGTTACTTGGTTCAATTAAGCTTTTCAGAGAATATGCTTGAAGGAAAAATTCCATCCGAGATAGGAAATTGGCAAAATATAGTGCTTCTAGACCTTTCAGAAAACAATCTTAGTGGTGCTATACCCTTGCAGGTTTTTACTCTTTCCTCCTTGTCCACATTGCTGAACTTCTCCCACAACTCATTAAACGGCTCTCTACCTATTGACGTGGGAAGACTTAAAAGTCTTGGCACTTTTGATATCTCTGAAAATTATCTTTCTGGGGAGATTCCTAGGACCATAGGAGACTGCATAAGTTTGGAATACCTTACCTTACAAGGGAATTTGTTCAGTGGGTCCATGCCCCCTTCACTAGCTTCACTGAAAGGCCTTAAGTATCTAGATCTATCACAAAACAACTTTTCTGGATCAATACCAACAGGTCTGCAGAATATATCCGCCCTTGAATACTTGAATGTTTCATTTAATGCATTGGATGGTAAAGTGCCAACAGATGGGATTTTCAAGAATGCAAGTGCCATATCAATTGCGGGTAATTATAAGCTTTGTGGGGGTATTGCTGAGCTGCATTTACCACCATGCCCTGACAAAACTAGGACAAACAATAAAAATCATCGTTTGAAGGTCGTGGTTATTATCATTTGTGTTATTGTTTGTGCTGTCCTATCATCTATATTTGCTATCTACTGCTGGAGGAAACGAAACAGGACACTGCCTTCAACTTCACAACCAACTGGCCAGCCCTCCAATATATCATACCAAAGCTTACACTCTGCAACAGAAGGGTTCTCCAGCAATAACTTGATCGGGTATGGAAGTTTTGGTTATGTGTATAAAGGAAAGCTGCAATCAGAAAGCAGAGTTGTTGCTATAAAGGTCCTAAACCTTCAAAAGAAGGGAGCAAACAAGAGTTTCATTTCTGAATGTAATGCACTTAAAAACATCAGGCACAGAAATTTGGTTAAGATTTTAACATGTTGCTCCAGCTTGGATTATAAAGGGCAAGAATTTAAAGCACTAGTCTTTGAGTACATGTCAAATGGAAGCTTAGAGCAATGGTTGCATCCTAGTCCAGAAAGTATAGATCAGCCTAGAACTTTGAATTTAGCTCAAAGATTAAATATTTTAAATGACGTTGCTTGTGCACTGCATTATCTTCACTATGAATGTCAGCAAACCATTGTCCATTGTGATTTGAAGCCAAGCAATATTCTTCTTGATGATGATATGACTGCTCACGTTAGTGACTTTGGGCTAGCAAGACTTCTTGCAATCCTCAATGGCAGCTCTAAGAAGCAAACCAGCACAGTTGGAATAAAAGGGACTATTGGGTATGCTCCTCCTGGTATGATTTACTGTTATTTAAGCATTCAACTCTTCTCAATTTTATATTTTTTAATGATCCATTTTTAAATTCAGTTACAGTAAGAATAATGAATAACTAATCTTATGACATATTGATATATATATATATATATGTATATATATGCATTCAGAGTATGGAATGACTTCTGAGGTATCAAGGGAAGGTGATGTTTATTCTTTTGGGATTCTAGTTTTGGAAATGCTTACTGGCAAAAGGCCCACTGAAGACATGTTCAAAGATGGTCACAATCTCCATAACTATGCAAGATCTGCATACCCAGATGACCTCTTGGACATTGTGGACTCAGATCTTTTACAGAAAGATTTAAAGCAGACTGCATCTTCAAGATCAGAGCAAATCAACATGCAGAACCAGAGCCTGTCGCATTATAATGAAGAGAAGTGTATAATTTCACTATTCAGCATTGGACTTGCTTGCTCAGAAGAATCACCCAAAGAAAGAGCGAATATGATGAGTATCACAAGGAGGCTAGATCTCATTAGAAATGCTCTCTGCTGTCATGAAATGAAAGGGAATTGATTCCAAAGCAGAGAATGGGAACTTGCTTCTTTAGCAACACTATGACCACCAATTGCTCTATTGTATACGTATTTGTAGCTGAAATGTTCATACATGAATAGTGAACTTCCCATATTATCTTATAGTTTAATATTATCTAAAGCTCATTCTTTCAATATGGAAGTTAGTGAATGAGAGACATTGTTCAGTTTACAGGAAAAAATTACATAAAAAAGATGAGGCATAATTAGAGTTAACAATTGAAGTGATTAATTGACACGAATAATGATATCAAAAAACCCACCAAAACTTTAGTTTTAATGAGATAAAAGTAACCATAATCTAAGTGGTTTCCAACGTAATGAAACATTGTAACTTAATGCCTGTTGGCCTGGTGGAGCGGTGGAGTTTTTTTTTTCGTTTTTCTTTTCTGGGCCACGTTTTGAGAAAGCCACGCAAGATGGTGCCCCCAAATTATAAATCCACTGTTTTCATTTTAAGGTCTTCGTTTTTTGTTGTTGGTCAAAATTTTGAGGTCTTAGTTTGAAATATAAAATAGAAAAAACTATTTTGGAGGCACTTATATTTTTTTTTTTTCCAACTTTCAATTTGGTAGACATGTGTTTTTTTAATTAAATTTTTAATTTTGTTCTATTTACATTGTTAACCTTTGCATAGAGACTAAAAATGCTAATAGAACAAAGTTACAAAAGCTAATGTTATTTAAAAAAAAATTAAAGTTACATGATTTAAGTAAGAGGGAAAAAAACACAGGTGCCAAATTAAAATTAGAGAAAGTATAGGTACCTCCAACATGGTTTTTCCCATAAAATATGCAGTTTTTTTTTTTTTTTGCTCCAATTTATTTTGTTTGAATTTAAGAGTTATAGTTAACTCCGGGCTGGTGAAAAAAAAGAAAAGAAAACAATGGCCGGCAGAAGTTTCTTAAGCATTTATATCTTTCGGCCAATGTTACAAAAGCACAATAATAAATAAAATTTCCAACTAGATACTTTATACTTATACTATTCTATTAACATATGCTAATGAGTCAAACTAATAAGAATGATGAATTTGATACTCCTCCGGTTTTAAACCATTGTATTAGTGTGTATAAAGATTTTATATTTAGAATTGGAGGAGTATCTAGATACTCAGTTCAGTCAATGAAGCTAAGTAGAATAAGGACCGAACTGCTTGGGCTTTTGTGCATGTTCAAAAGCTGGAGTTTGCAAAAAGGGTACTGATGAATGAAGAGGAAAGAGTTATCAACAATCACATGATTAATTTGGTTGTCTCTTGCCAATTCCAACTCATTGTGAATTCAACCCCATTTAGTTATTCTTATAGCAGGCAATTGCGAGCTTTTGGACTTTCAAAGAGAGATTGTAACTGTAAGCAGTGGAAGGAACCAAGGGTATGCATACCAATCCCATAATTAAATAAATTAAGTAAGTAAACGGGGTTTGTTGACTCTTAAATAAGATTAAGGGTTCAGATATTGTAATGATGAAAGTCGTGCCATGAAAGACGATCTCTGACTTTGTAGTAAGGTTAAAGATCCAAATATTATAAATCCCTGTTGGGAAAAGTATCTACATTTACTGTTTGACAGTATCTCGAACAGAATTATCTTCAATAAGAAAATATCTGTGCCTACTAAAAAAAATCTAAATAGTACAAATAAAGTTAATTTTAGTATAAAATTGAAAACAATTTTCATTTAAATTCGATAATATTTAAATCACTTGTCCTTTACGAAAAAGTGCCACATCCTACTATCTTCATTTAAATCACTTGTCCTTTAAATTCGATAATATTATATATATATATATATGTATATTCAAATCTAGTTTCTATGAGCTAAATTAATCATATAATTTATATTGTTTATATTAAATTTATCTTAGTCTTATACCTTGAATTGATTTTTTAATCATAATAATTCATCTAAATATGTATAGCATTTCACAACCTGCATTATGAAGACCATCATACGCAAATTAATTTAGTGCAGTAATGCTTGAAGAACGGCTGGATTAATTAAGAGAGAATTACAATCAAGTCTCATAGAAGAGATTAATTGCTAAAAAGTCTTAATAACAACCTGAGTAGCCTGTAATGATAAATTCTACAATAGAGAATGACAACTTTTTGGGACTTGTTTTGTAATATTGTTTCCTTTTATAGGATTTGATTGTAATTCTCCCATTAATTAAGGTGCCTAAAGAGAATATATTTCATAGGGAGAATCTCAAAAAGGACAAAAAAGCTTCAAATTTCTAAGCCTCAAATTAAAAATTATCATTTGCAAGTCAGTTGTTAAAATCAATTACTAAACCTGATTTGATATTCACTAATTTCAAATTTCTTTTTATAAGATTTTTCCTATTTCGTATCCCCTTTTTTGTCCTATTTGAATCAACTTTATTTTATATTTGTCACGATTTAATTTTGAACGATCTTATCCATCTTATTTTTCAAATAAAAACTATGTATTGCCCTTGATCTTTAATATAAGAGTTAATTTGATTTTTAATTCAGTTCTAAATATAAGATTCTAATCTATTTTATCTTTTACATTTATCTATTTTTTCTTTGCACATGTTAAAAATTTTATCAAATGGTAGTTTTAGCTAATATACTTAATTAACAAGAGTATCTTAGAAAAGACAATACATATGCATTACAAATAACTAACTTAACTAGTTTCTTTAATCTACTCAAATTAATCAACTAGCTATTATATTAACAATCGGAGGTAGTATTAAGATACTTTACAATAATGCATGAATAATTTAGGAGAAAATATCAAAAAAAAAAAAAAACAAGAACAATTTTTTTTCAGCAATTCCTCTTTTTTTTTTTAAAAAAAAAAACATTTGATGTACTCCTCAGCAACTATTTGGCTGGCATAGACCCTTGAGACCCTCGATATAGTTTCACCAACTCTCATATAAACCAGCTGTGTGTTCTCGCACCAACAAGAGAGCATCTCAACATCTCGAACTCCCATAGCATTCCTTCCACTCACCAACTTCAGCCCTTCAAAACAAAAATGGCTTTTGCCCCCACGTCTCATCCATATCCTCCCACAAACCTTCAAGTTATCCTTTTTCTGTGGGTAAGCATACTTTGGCTCCCAAGTATGAAAGCTACTACATCTGCATTAGGAAATGAGACTGATTATATGGCATTGCTCAAGTTTAAGGAATCAATAACCAATGATCCATATAAAGTCTTGAGCTCTTGGAATGGTTCAAATCACTTCTGCAACTGGTATGGAATCGCTTGCAACCACAAGCACAAAAGAGTAGTCGAGTTGAAGGTGCCATGATATCATTTGCGTGGGGTCCTATCACCCTATGTTGGCAACCTCTCCTTCCTGAGATATCTGTACCTTCACAATAACAGCTTCCATGGAGAAATCCCACCACAATTAGGTCGTTTATTCAGGCTGCAAAAACTCCCTCTCACAGATAATACATTGAGAGGACAAATTCCCTTCAACCTGACAAACTGCTATGAGCTCAGGCACTTGAATTTGTCAAGCAATAATCTTACTGGTAAAATGCCACTCGAGCTTGGCTCTCTCAGGAAGCTTGAAAAGCTGTACTTATATGAAAACAAATTAACTGGAGAAATCCCAGCTTCCGTTTGGAATCTTTCCTCCCTTGAGTATCTTTCAATGGCTTATAACAACTTGGAGGGAAGCATACCAGAAGAAATAGGGCATTTGACCAGCTTGAGGGTTTTCGCAGTAGTGGAGAACAAATTTGCTGGTATGCTTCCTTCTTCACTTTACAACATGTCATCCCTCTCATTCATATCTGCAGCAAAAAACCAGCTGACTCGAGCTCGACTTCCAGACAACATGTTCACCACCCTCCCTGATTTGAAATATTTTGCCATAGCTGACAATCAAATATCAGGTTTGATCCTAACTCAATAGCAAATGCATCTTTTCTTCAAGTATTAGACATTGGAAGAAACAATTTTTTTGGAGAAGTTCCGAGTTTAGGAAGCCTAAAACATTTGCTGCAGCTAAGTTTGAGCCATAATAATCTTGGAAATGGTTCAATTCATGACTTGGATTTTATAACATCCTTGGAAAATTGTACCAAACTAGAAAATTTGCGATTATCATACAACAGATTTGGAGGTCTACTACACAACACCATAAGCAATTTGTCAACCGATCTCATTCAATTGTACCTTCTTCATAATCAGATATATGGAACTATTCCTGAAACTTTAGGAAGGTACACATTCAATTGCCTTAGCCTTGGGATACAACCAGTTTACAGGCTCAATTCCACCATCTTTCGGAAAGCTTCATAAGTTGCAACTGTTAGATTTGGAGAGAAACCAACTCTCTGGAGAGATACCAGCCTCCTTAGGCAATTTAAGCCATTTGGGGGAGCTATGCTTTTCACAAAATATGCTCGAAGGAAACATTCCACTAGATATTGGAAATTGGAAAATTTTAAAATTTCTAGACCTTTCAGGAAACAATGTTACTGGTTCTATACCCTTGCAACTTTTTACTCTTTCCTCCTTGTCCATGTCGCTGATCTTTTCCCACAACTCCTTAAATGGACCTCTTCCTATTGAGGCTGGAAGACTTAAAAATCTTGGCACTTTTGATATCTCCGAAAATCATCTTTCTGGTGAGATTCCCAGGTCTATAGGAGATTGCATAAGTCTGGAATACCTTATATTACGGGGGAATTTTTTCAGTGGGTCCATGCCCCCTTCACTCTCTTCACTAAAAGGCCTGAGGTATTTAGATCTATCACAACTTGTCTGGATCAATACCAAGAGGTTTGCAGAATATTTCCTTCCTTGAATACTTGAATGTTTCATTTAATGCATTAGATGAAGTACCGACAGATGGGGTTTTCAAGAATGCAAGTGCCATATCTGTTGCGGGTAATTCTAAGTTTTGTGGGGGTATTTCTGAGCTGAATTTATCACCATGCCCCATGAAAATTAGGACAAACAATAAGCATCATCATTTGAAGCTCTTAATAATTTTTGTTTGTGTTTCTATTTGTCTGGTCTTATCATCTATATTTGCAATCTACTGGTGGAGGAAACGAAACAGGACATCGTCTTCAACTTCACCAACAATTAACCAGCTTCCCAAGATGTCATACCAGAGCCTACACTCCGCAACGGAAGGGTTCTCTGCCAACAACTTAATTGGATATGGAAGTTCGGGGTTTGTGTATAGAGGAAAGCTGCAATCAGAGGACAAAGTTGTTGCTATAAAAGTCCTAAACCTTCAAAAGAGGGGAGCTAACAAGAGTTTCATTGCTGAATGTAATGCACTTGAAAATATTAGGCATCGAAATTTGGTGAAGATTTTAACATGTTGCTGCAGCATTGATCATAAAGGACAAGAATTTAAGGCACTTATCTTTGAGTACATGTCAAATGGAAGCTTGGAAAATTGGTTGCATCCTAGTACAGAAAGCATAAATCAGCCCAGAGCTTGGAATTTCGCCCAAAGATTAAATATTTCAAATGATGTTGCTTGTGCACTACATTATCTTCACTATGAATGTGAACAGACTATAGTCCATTGTGATTTAAAGCGAAGCAATATTCCTCTTGATGATGAAACAATTGCTCATTTAAGTGACTTTGGGTTAGCAAGAGTTCTTTCAATCCTTAATGGGAGCTCTCAAAAGCAAACCAGCACATCTGTCTTGAAGGGGACTATTGGCTATGCTCCTCCTGATATGATTCATTGTCATGTGCCTTCTAAATTCCTTTAAGTTTCATATCTTGTATGAACCTTAAATTTTTTTTAATGTTGAGTCACTGTAAGTGTGATGAATGACAAATACTTTACATTTTGTGATGTATTTCAGAGTACGGAATAGGTTCTGAGGTATCAACACAGGGTGATGTTTATTCCTTTGGGATTTTAGTTTTGGAAATGCTTACTGGCAAAAGACCCACTGAAGAAATGTTCAAAGATGGTCACAATCTCCATAACTATGTGAGAACTGCATACCCAGACAACCTCTTGGACATTGCGGACTCAGATCTTCTACCGATACAAATGATGCAGAATGTAAGAGGAAGATCTTCTACCGATACAAATGACGCAGAATGTAAGAGGAAGATCAGAGGAAATCCATATGGAGAACCATGCCCTGATGCACTCTAAAGAAGAGAAGGCTATAGCTTCACTTTGTAGCATTGGACTTGCATGCTCAGATGAATCACCCAGAGAAAGAGCGAATATGATGGACATCACAAGGAGGCTAACTATAGTTAGCAATGCTTTCCATTGTGCTGAATGAAACGAAAATTGATTCCCTGGTGAGAAGAAATGAAAATCGGCTCCAAAACAAAGAATGGGAAAGTGATGCTTCAAAAGTGATGTTACTTCCAATTTTTGGGCTAGTTAGACATGCTGTCATGTATATAAATTTGAAGTTGAAATACTCATACAGAAATCGTGAACTTCTCATGCATTATGATTATTATCTTACAGTGTAATATTATCTATAACTCGTTCTTTTAATATAGAAGTCAGGGCATAAGAGAATGTATTCATATTTGTACGGGAGAAAAATTAAGAACAGCAAAAGTTGACGCATAATAAGAGCCAACAGGGGAAATGATTAATCAACACGAATAAAGATATTCATAGATTCCGGCATGAATACACCTATTCATCTACAGAAAATGTACGAGTTCTTTTGGCTTAACTGCAAATCATTGCTCAAGCAACAAGGATTTACTCAAAATAAAGCGATGAAGGGTTAAATGTAACTCGATTTCACTCTTGAGAAAGCCTAAGGACCAATACCTCTAATAGGACGAGACGTTTCACAGCGAGACTGAAGTTTCACACTTGATTTGCGCTCGTCTCTAACCAAAATCCTGAAGCTTGACATGAACAAACCAATTCCCTGTAGAGGCATGTTGGGTTGGTGCTCAGGGAGGAGCAGTTTTGCCTATGGTTCGCCCGAATTATTAATATGAAAATTAACGCCTTAAATTTTAGGAAGAATGACGAAAATAGACCATCAAATTTGTATATTTCAAATGAAGATCTTTGGAAATCCGGGAAGTATTCTAAAATAAAATTTTTCTGTCAAATGACTTGATTGCACAATTTTCTTAAAAAAACGTAAATTGTATAAAATCATAACAAAAGCCCCCAAAAAAAATTATTGTTAAATTTCAAAATTTTAAACTAGTATCAGTTACAATATGTGTAAAGAAAATGGCTACATTTCAAAAGCAAATAACAATATATTTTTATAGTAATTCCTGATTTGAAAATTTGAAGTTCAACAATCATTTTTTTATTTTTCCTAATAAATAATATTTTTTGATTAAAAAAAAGTAACAAATAATACTTTAAAAGTTATATAAATTTTTTTTTAAATATTCACCTTAAATAGTGTAAAATTATTTCAGCTCAAAAAATACTGTTAAATCATTTTTAAAAAGTTAATTTAAAAGCAAAGTGAGATGGCAATTTTAACCATATAAAATAACAACAAAAGCCCCAAGTAATAACAACTAGTGTGAAAGGAAATTTTTTTTTTTCTGACTTAAAGACAATATGATCATTTCGCAACAAAAATTAACTCCAAAGAAATTCCTAGGGAAGATTCATAGGAATTATGTCATTTTGCAGTACCATTTTTGCCACTCGCTTCTTATTGTGATCTTTTACGTTTTTCTCACTAAATGTTATTACATGATAGTTGGATATTTAATTGGGTCCTAAATAAAAAATCTCAGTCTACTTTGTGTCTCATATTTATCTATTTTATCCTCCCAAATAATCTTTATAGTAATTGTAAGAATTATTCCAATGCACATAATTAACAAAGATATTTTAGAAAAAGACAATATATATTTATTACAAGTAACTAATTTAGTGAATTTTCTTAATATCAACACATTAATTACTTAACTCTCATATTAAGGACCAGAAGTAGTATTCCATTTTTGTTTTATAATTTTTATTGAAATGAAGCATAAAATATGTTAACTTTTTAATGTCAATTTTTTTAAAAATTTTTTAATTTTAAAAACTAAAAATAGAAAATGGAAAAGCGTTACATACTTGTGTTATATATGAACATAACGTACTTATCTTTAAAATAAGCGCCGAATAATGAAAAATATGAGGATCTGCATTAACTATGTATCATAACCCAACTTAGACTCCATAAAAATATAACCTGCCATAGTTTTGTTGTGACACAATTGTTCTTTATTGTTCTATATAATATGTGGATGTTGATCTTTTGTTGTCTTTCAATGAATTTTTTCTGGTAAATAGAATAGAGGGAGAGTTGAAGCTGAATTGCGAGGATCTCTTGTAAATTCGTTTTCACGTTTTGATATGATCAGTCACTTAATTGTTGCCCTTTTTAGGTGTTTGGTACCAAAAATATGATACTAAATATTATGTTTGGTCCTTAATATAAGGTTTATTTAACTAATTTGAGAAAATTTATAAGGTTACCAGATTATTTTAAAGTACCTATATTTATTGCTTTTTCTCTAAACTAATTTGTTCAACTTATAAATTGGTATATAATTTAATAATACACATATTAAAGAAATCATGTGATATATGCTCTAATTCAATAATTCAACAATTTTCTTAATCTTTTCAAATTAATTAACTGTGTTTATATTGAGGAGCAAAGGTCGAGCTGCTTCTAAGAATATAACATTTATTTTGTTGGCCTAACCACCGTAAATTTAAAAATAAATGGTACAATTGTAACCCTAGTGTGTAACCCTAACCAAAACGCACATATGTGTCTCAAACACTATAAAAATGGCATGGAAAACCATTTTGTAAGAATCTATAGTTTTTCTTGATTTTTAATTTGATCCATATGTATTTGTTTCCTTAATTAAATACTTCAATTTTGTTTTGTTAGCACTGTTATCTCTTGTACAAAAGCTAATAGTACTAAAATTTCGAAACTAACATTGTTAATGGGGTACAATTTAAACATTTAATTAAAAAATATACATGTACCATCATTTTATTAAAAATGTAAAAAGATAGGGGCCATGATGATGGCTGACATACAGGCACCATCTTCTGAGCTGATTTTCATATCAATAAATAATGGCTGTGATTGGAATTGATAATGATGATGACAAGCATAGCTATTAAAGAGACATATAGCCAATAACTTTCATGGAATTAAATGTGAGAAAATCTTTTCCATCGGCACAAAATTATTTGAAGAAACGTTCACCTTGAGTGAAATAGAATTTAAAAGCCTTATAGGGACCATGAAGAATCTAGTTATATTGCCCAAGTACATTTTAACTAATCAAGTATCCGCCGGGGGGTTACTTAACTAGAGCAATTCCGTCCGGTTCAAAGAACATGAAATTACATCAATAGAAATACTATTTTCGACCTGATGCTGCAAACTATATGCACTGAAGGAATTATTTCCAAATATATCCCATCTAACTAATTACGCCAACTAGTTTTCTCTGCCCCTTTGTTGATGGACCTTGATCATTTGAAACACTTCTGAGGATGGATTTTAAAGATGAAAAGCCAGGTCCAGTACAAAGTTCTTTAAGATGGATGAAGCTTTTTCAATACGGATGTTGTTCCCAGGAAACCAAAGTAAAACTCTCAGAGCCAATTTCACTCAAACTTGTTTTGGATCAATCACCTGGCATTCAGATCAAATTCACCAGCTTCACGCCAGCCATCCTGAGTGGCCGTGTCCCCATTCTCTGCTTCTTCATCATTCAAGAAATCTTCAGATGGTTCCTTCTCATCTTTCTGTGCATTGTTTCCCCATCCATTGATCATCTCACCTGGGTTACTTCCTTGACCCTGTTCTCCCATGTCATTGCCTTGAGACCCAAGTGCACTATCTCTTATTGGCACTCGAGCCATCATTTCTGCATGAGGGTGTGAATCCACCCAAGCCTGCTCTGCTTGTTGAGCCATAGCTGCCATCCGTAGCTTAGCCTCATGGGCTTCACGACCAGCCTTCTCCCTGGATTCTAGTTCTGCTCTTAATTCCACTAAGGCCCGTTTTTCGTCTTGTAGAAGACACTGCTCAAGAAACAATCTTTCCTCAGATCGAAATTCTCCCATAGCTCGTTTGCGGGTTATTATATTAAAGGCAAGTGACTGCTTTTCGAAAGTTGCTACAAACTCAGAAACTTTAGCAGCAATATTATTATCCCATTGCTGTGATCGTGACAGCACCTGACCTGTGGTGTCAGAATCAAGAATCCTATCATCCTCTTCTGCTTCATAGTCTGCCACAACATGATACGGCAATAATCTGCATGAGGACAAATGCCAGCAGGTTAAGGTATCACTTGAGACACAATAGGATAGACAAAAAGTGATACAGCAGCACATGTTTTGGAAACATTAAAATGTAGTCTGCAAAACGTGAAATCATCCCTTTTTCATGCCAATACTTAATCAACTCAAATGGAATAATATTAAGTAAGAAAGTAAACATTGTATTAATCAACTTGATTAAAGCATGACAAGGTTCCACTGAAACTTATAAGGTTAATTTTAATAAAAAAGATTTCAGCCTATGCATATGACATAGTATAGCAGGGAACTAACAGAGTTCAAGGCAGATTTTCATATAACAACAATTATAATGATAAGTCAACTTTTGGTCATTCCTAAGCAGTCACAGTAAATTTTCCTGGTCTGATCTAATCAAAAGTTTGTCTCTACATGCCATCATCAACATAAGCAATAACAAATATAATATTACAATCATGGCTTTCTTAAGGGAGAGTAATGATATTTTCTTTCATTTTTTTTTTAATTCCTTTTTCCGCTTCATTCTCTTTTAGGAGGTTGTCTAATTATCTATCTTCCAACTAAAGTTTTTTTTTCTATTAAAAATATAAGTAACAGGAATCTATCATCCAAGAAGCGTGTCCAAATCTTCTTATGAATCCTCCCGTTCCACCAGTTTTGCTGAACACAACCCATTTAGGTCCCTCCAGCAGTTCAGTGGGAAGCTGATAAAGCAAGAGGTTTGATTCAGTAATACCACTGTAACATTCAACCATGCATGATTACTTTCACAAAAAGAATAACCAACAACATCAATGCTATTTTCTCCCGGGGAAGAAGAGTATATAACCCGCAAAAGTGTTCTGTCATGTCAAATATGTCATGTTATCAAAATTCGCAATAGCAACAAGCCTCATCCTATTAAATAAATTCAGCTAACCAAGACTTTCTAACTACTTCACGTTTTTCTTTTTATACATTTCTAATTTTTTCCTACTTAATAAGCAAAGGACTTTTATTAGAGAGAAAAGAACACAAGTACTAAAAGGAGGAGCCTACAATATTGCCCAAAACGGACCAATTAAAAAAAGACAGTTTAAGAACCTTAAATGTGCAGCAGAGCTGCTCCATCTTATAATATTAAAAGTACAACTCCCACTGAACATCAATAGGCAGAGAATCAAGAAAATGCCATGAGCACAATCCTACTCCAACAATTTTGCAGACAACAAGATTATGCCCTGTGGGCAGTCCAATCTAACTAAATACGCCACAACAGCAAAAACAGCACACTGGAACCAATTTTTTCTCTCCATATTTTTGTATAGCCACCAGAAAAAGTGAAGCAAACAGATAACTGTTTCTAAACTGAATTAACATCTATCTAACTGAAGAAGACATTTGTACTAATCCCAGCATCCTAGCCCCCCCCCCCCCCCACACACACACACAAAAGATAAAAGTCTCCAGGAAATTTAGAGTTTTATAAGCCAGTCAAAAGAAATCTTACACCAATTCATAGAACTTGTTAGAAACTGAAAGTAAGATTCAGAAGAAAATGAGCTAGAGGATTGAATAACCCAAGAGTAAAAAATTCTCCTATCTCGACTAAAATATAATCCAGATGAACCAAGCCCTAAAAGGAACTGTGACTCATCACCATAGTTATCATATGCAACAAAGATTGTTTCAGAAACATATCTAATTTGCTCATTTGGGGACATCATAAAAATTGGCCAAGGCTCTGAAAGAAAGAAAGAAATGCCAATGAAGCTTAGGATTATAATTCACCTCTCGCATGCGTCTTCGAGGGAAGAAAAGGGTCGCTTGAAGTCCGGGTGGCACACCCGCCAAGCATCTTGGTACGCCATCTGGAGCTCCATCTGGTTAGTGGGTCGAACAATCTTCTGCTGCTGCTGCTGCTGCTGCTGCTGTTGCGACTGCTGCTGCAGATGATTCAAATTAGCGTTGTGGTGGACATTGGCCATGGGATTTGAATTGGGGGTGGGGGTGGGGTTCGGGTTAGGGTTAGGATTAGGATTAGGATTAGGGCTTTGTTGGAGATTGATGGGACGTATAGGACGCAAGTGAGCGTCAATGTTAGAGGGGAAACGAGAAATAGCCGCAGCTTGCTGTGCCTGATGTTGCTGCTGCTGTTGTTGTTGCTTCATTTGCTGGAAAAGCAGCAATCGTTGCTGCTGTTTCTGCTGATGCTGAAGAAGCAATTGTTGCTGCTGCTGCTGCAATGCCTTCGCCTCCTCCATTTTTACCTAAAATTTAGAACTTCTCTCAATCCCCAACTATCTTGATCCCAAGCAGAAATCAAGTGCGAAGGTAATGCAATGTCTTCTTCCGATGAAATAGACAGGAGAAATGAAGGCGAGGGAAACAAAATGAAAGGAAACGGAAAGAAAGACCCGTTTTTACTTTAGGAAATTAGTTTTCTTTAAAAGGAAATTAAACATCCGTTGCTCATTTTCTCATTTCCTATGCTCCTCATGTTCTCCCCTTCTAAAATAAAAATTATGTTTCAAAAAACTTATTTTTTACCCAAAATATAGGTGATATATTTCTTAGTAATTTTTTATTTTTCAGTTTTGCTCTTGATTAATACTAATATTAGGCTAAAATTTGGTTCAATATGCTTAATAGATATGATAATAAAAATAGCTTTTTTGATAAATTTAACCAAAATTTTAAATTTTTCATCCTTTTCCTAGTCTGTATGTATACATATATTTTTAAATATGACCAATATCTTAAATTTGAAAAGAGATATTTTCAATTTCTTCCTATAAAATAAAAATTGATATAAAAATTTGAAATTTAAATGTATCCATCTTAATTTTTTTAAGTAAATATATTGTACTTATATGATTTTAAGTTTTTATTTCTTTAAGTTTTATATTTTCCCCAGCATTTAATTTTCACATTAGTATCTATAAATTTTTATTTATATGATTTATCCTAATACTCACAAAAAATTACGGATGATAAATGTTAAAAAAAAATTATCCTATTTATATATAAATATACAGACCTTTATATGCATATGTTAATTGTATTTAACAAAACGTTTGGGCCTCCAATCAGTTCAAAACTAGATCCGTAAATTGTTAATCATCTTCCACATAAGGATAAAACGAAACAACAACAACAGCCCGCCCAACAATTAGGCCCAAAACCAAATATCCCATAATATGTAAACCCCACGTCGTCAAACCATCATCTTGACCCAATCATCAGCTGAGTCAATGTCCACCTCTATATCAGTGTTAGCCAAATTGCCAACGTCATCAATTGAGTCATCCGCCACCTGGTCACCCATGTTAGCCGACCTGCTCATGTCATCAAATGAGTCAGCTGCCACATTGTATGTCATGTCATCACTAGCATCCTCATCAGTGTGTTGAGTCATATGCCACCTCACTGACCATACCATCATGTCTATCCACATCATATAAAGTATTTTTCCGGTCCTTAATATAAGACCTAATTATTGAGTTAGATTTTGTCCTAAATATAAGACCCATTTCTCATATTTATCAATTTTTTTTAAATTACTCCTATAGATACTCTTTCAACCATAATCAAGTAGAAGAGGAAGATGGAGTATTAAAAAAGATAATTATAGTATTTTAGGAAAAATATGTCATATTTTTTATAATTAACTAACGTACTTAACTCCCTTAATCTAATCAAATTAATTAAATTAGATTTATATTAATGAACCGGAGGACTATATCACCACATCACAACCACATCATCCAAATTGCCATGCTGTCATTCGTGTCACACACCCAGTTAGACATACACGTCATCTATACGTTCACATCATCGCCTAGTTCATACACTGCATCACCTGGAAATGGCACGTATTTTTATTCGTCCCCATCAGCATGATTCATTGCTTTACAAGAGAAAAAGGCAAGGGAAAAGTTTGCAGTAGCTAGGAAGAAGGATTCGGAAACTTGACTGCCGACGGCGAGTTGAAAATCGGATTTAAGAACGTCTTCTCTCGGATTTCAAAATATGATCCTGCCGTCCTCCATCTTGCTCTTATTTCTGTTGGTTTATTCCCATTTGGTTCAGAGATCTAACATACTACACAGTTGTTTAATTGTTTCTTTGTTAGAGGGATCTTAGATCAAAAGTAAAAAAAAAAAAAAAAAAAACTTGTTAGGACACCTTAGAAAATTATTAATCGTTGAATAAGAAGAGTACAAATGAAACCATAACCTAACAAACTAGTTGTAAACTTTTACCTAATCTTATCTAATCCTAATATCTCATATCTATTCTTATAAGATATGATAATATAATATCTAAATATAATCCTAGAAAATATTCTAAATTACTGGGTATCCTAATATAATTCTAAATTACTGGATGATATTAATTCGTTTACATGAAATGTTTAACTCGTTTAAGAAGGCATTGAAATGCATGAAACAATATTGGTTGCAAGTGGTGAAATCAGGTAAATCAAAATGTTTCTGCCAATTTCTTGTCTGGCCATGAATTTAGTCACTGTTCTTAAGCAATCTAAATTCCTACGAATATGTTTCTAAGTTATTTTCTAAGTTATGCATGTTATTATGGTAAGAATAATTTTATAAGCATATTTCACAGAAGAGGCGAAACTTGTTATTCAACTTGGTGGGTGTTTTTGTCATGGATATAATTATTATTCCAACAACCCAAAATTTACTCCCGGGTCTTCAACAATCCATGGTTTTGAATTCCAAAATTTTGGTTTTGGACCAAACCAAGGTTTTCTAAAAAATCTGGGTGCTTGGGACCCAAACTATAGTTTGGAATGAAAAAGCACTTTTTTTTTTAAATTACCAAACTACCCCTAACTCATGTTTGCAAAAGTTCAGTTAATTCGGACACACCCAGTATCCCAAATTTAACGAAACTTCTTTATTTTCCCGCATCATCTTCGTCAGGATAATGGTCTCGATTCACACAATTGGGGTTGCCACGAGCTCATTATCTCCTTTGAGAGACATTTGGGGCTCCAGTTCACGTTGTCCATGCCTGAAAGCTTGGAGACGCACTGCTGCAGCTTTATCCGGCACCAGTCTGGCGTTTCACCATAAGGACATTTGGATGCCACGAGCTGCATACCCAATGGATTACATGAGGGATGCTTGGATTAGTCAGAGGGAGAAGTTTCTTAACATGATTCCTACAAACGTAACGAACTATGCTTCTATTCTTGAGACATCATCAGCCCATCATATGCGGTTGATTCGAACAAGTTTGTAGGCGTATGCTATGGCACATGTGGCCTCTTATTTCAATCAGCCCGTCGATAATGTACATATGTCTATTTGGCTGGAGACAAATAGATTTGTTTGTAGTGGAAGAATTTTCAAAGTCATGCGACATTTTCTTTTCTTTTGTATAATTTTACTATGTTCAATTTAATTCTTTGATTTAATATGCATGAATTCAATCTCGCGGTTGCCTGCCCTGATACAGAACTGGCAAATGAGGCCTTATTAAATATATTTGGCAGGAAAGCTTTTTCTGTCACCTATGCTTCTCGTGAATGATGCTACTTCCAACTCTCTCTCTCTCTCTCTCTCTCTCTCTCTCTCTCTCTGTGTATGGATGTACGTACGTACGTACGTATGTATCTAATTACTTTCTAGATATGAAGGTGTAGTTGTTGAGCATTGCGTAGGTAGGACAGCAAAATGTGAAAGAACTAATGCTTGTGTGCTGTAATTGGTTTTTGTCCCCTTTTTTAAGTTGTCAAGGCCTGTTTCCACTGTTCTTCTTAAGTTAGATTCGTTTAGATGAAATGTTCAACTTGTCTAAGAGGGAAACGAAATGCATATGAAACAATATTTGTTGCAAGAGATGACATCAGGTGAATCAAAATGCGTCTACCAATTTCTTTTGCATGAATTTAGTCACTATGTTCTTAAGCAATGTAAATTCCTACGAATATGTTTCTAAGTTACTTTAGGATATCCTGATTAATTCTTTTCATGTTTTGCAAATCTGGTTTGCTGAATTTTATTCTGGTACGAACATTTTTATAAGCATGTTTTGTGATAGAACAGCCTGAAAACTTCATTCCATTGTGGTTTTTAACTACTCTTTTTTAGTGCTTTCTTTATGATCTTAAAGTAAACTGTCGTCTGGAATTTTTCTTCTTGCATGGTTTTCGAATCTACAGTTGAGATGAGTTTCTGACACTGAATTTAACCTCAGAGGCACAAGACTTGCTTATGGTAAATGCACTAGAGAAGTAAGAAGTTAGTGGTAGAGTAAGTTTTCTAAAGAGCAAGGTGAAAATTCTCTGTAATAAGAGAAACTAGTGGGGCAAGCAGAAAGCATATCAAAATGTCATTGGTAGAAAGCACCACTGACTGGTGATTGGATGCTGTTAACTAGTAGACTCTTACAGAGATTACATGATGTTAATTGTAGGGGTCACATATACTCAGAGTTACTGTTTATTTAATTCATTTTGCCACATGATCTTTATGGATGCCCATAATCTGTTTAGTAACACCATGACCAGATAATCTGACCAAAAAGATAGCTAAAATCTGCAAGCTCTTCATTCATTATTATTGATTTTCCCTGACATCACTGACTGCAAAGTCAAGAAAAACAGAAAAGAAACTGCTGTCTCGGTGCTCCTTATAGTCGATCATAAGGAAATTTCTTCCTTGGTTTTATATTTGAAAGGCTACAAGCAAGATGCTAGTTGGTGAGAAACAAATCAAGATGTCCATGAACGGTACGTCTTCAGCAATTAAAAGATGTCTGAGTATTGTCTTTGACAACAAAATCTTATTTAGCAATCGGTGACAGGGAAAGTCTTGTACTGTTCTGTTTGCCCAATCATTTACCATTTGTATATAATATAACAAGAGGTCTTATCTCACCTTAATATAATCCACAGATAAATCTAATATGATGATGACCTCTTCACTGCTCATTGTGGTACTTTTCCCTTTTGAGTCACAACAAATGCATCAAACTATCATACTCAGGCTTGAAAAGTAAAATTCGCAGGACAGTAGCAGATCTTTGTGTTTTTTTTGGGGTATTAAAGTTGAATTTTGATGGAGAACAAATTCACTGTAGGAACCTGTCAATCGGGTATTCACATGATGTTAATAGGTGGTTTCTACAAAACCAGCTGGAAGATGGTCTACAATAATCCTTCAGCAGTACTTGAATCTACCAAGACTTTGATGCTGGTTTTATGTAGAACCTATTCACCAAAAGAAAAAAGTTAAAAAATATTTGAAAAGCTAGGATATTATGAAGGGCATTGATCGAGAGCAATAAGGAAAGGCACATTAGAGGTCTCGAGTCACTTCGCAGACTTAGTTTTTTCATCAGGATCAAATAATGATTTGATGGCATCTATAAATCCTTTATCCTCTTGTCTTTGTGCAGTTTCCTTCTCTTCAGCCCATGCCAGAAACGGTGACGGTAACCATTGAAGTGCCAGCCCTTAAGTATGCCTGAAATTTGATGAAGCTTTGGAGGAGGGTACCTCAGAATTAGACCTGGATTGCAGTTTATCTGTTGTATTGCAAAAACTGTCCAAGAAACAAAGCAGCTGATACTGGGAATGTCAAAATCTGATGCATACCTTGTCACTTTAATTATTGTATCACCATTAAACAAAAGACGCAATTGTTAAAATGCTGAGGTCTTGAGGTCTTGGATTGCCAGCAGGGTTATTTATTTGCTTTGTGCGGATCATATTGATATAATAATCCTGTGTATTGTGTATAATTCTGAGACGAAAACCATTAAGCTTATGGTACGTTTTACAACATAGGCATATATGCTTACAAGTTTTACTGTTCCATTTTGCTTTATCTCTTAAAGTTCAAAATTTACATCATGCATTCACCCATTTTCTACCATCTACTATAAATATTTAAACACTTCATTCTGATACATCCTTAATATAACAACTAGATTATTATAATTTGTAAATATTTAAAAAAAATTAGTCAAGTTAGTCATTTATAACTAATATGTACAGGTTTTTCTAAAATATCTTTTTATCATGTGCATTGTAACTACTTTTTGATAGAAACATTTTTCTTATATGTTATCAACATAGAAATACTTTAGGGGAAAAAAATTATAAATCTAAAAGTCAAAGTGAACTGAAATCTTATATTTAATATCAAATTATACAAGTCCCTTGTCTATATAGCTCTTATACTTAGAACCACGGGTAGCATATGCATACCCCTTTATATATGAAGACGAAATGAGATTAGTCTCAGTTGTTCCATTATCTCTGTGTGTGTGTGTGTGTGTGAAGACGAAATGACATTAATCTGAAAGGCAAAGTTAAAAAAAGCAGGGCGATTTGAATTGATAGATAAGCAATTATATATATTATGCTGAAGGTAGTATAACTGATGAACTTGTTGAATATGTTAAACTGATTCTACCAGTAGCTTAGTGCGTATGTGCTTTATTACTTATTAGTATGAATATTGGGTGGAAAACCAACCAACCCACGCAAGTCAAAGTAAATGGCAATACCAATAGATGTTGTGACGTGTGAAGTCATTGCCAACAGTACAAGGCACTTAATTTGGATGCATGTATTGATTTTAGTCTACCACCCAGTTCTTTCTAAAGACGGACTGGAATTTGTACTATTGTGTATCATTTCCTTCATTTGTTATGATAATTAGTATACTAAGGTTTTTAACTTTTCTATATAGTCAAAATCCATTCAAATTATCAACCATGTTTGCATCTAGTGAAATTGGTTAATTAGTTCTCACAACATGGCGAATTAAGGTTTAAATTGTCATTGGAAGAAATGCTTATATATTTAATGTCAAGATACCCGTGTTTATCAAAACCAAAAGAAAAATCCATTCAAATGTATAAATTTCTAATTATCATCATCAGTGATAACCAAAAGTCCAACACTATATGTTTAAATTTTCATTATTTGATTTCTACTAATACTATTCATTTATGTATTCCCAAACATAACATTAATATTTTCATCAAGTATATCGAATAATCAACAAATACAAAAAAAAGAAGAAGAAGGAAACCGCATATATAATGTAACATGTGCTGACCTTTTCTTGCAAGGTCTTATAAGATTAAGTTAAAAACCCAATATAATTACCTCATAATAGGATTTTCTTGCCCTAGAATTTTTAGAGTTTTAAAATTTAATGCTACTTTCAGCTCTAAGTATAAGATCTTGTTTGTAAACTACAAACGATGTCTTATAGTTGAGACTGGAGGTAATATAACTATTGTTGATTTAAATATTAATAAATTCTTTATAAAGTTCATCTTGGCTATGGATTTGTATATTTTAAAATTTATTTTTTCCTTGCAGGGGTAGGCCTAAATTTTAGTCATTATATATATGACATCGTATTTTTATTGTATAAGATGTCATTTATATGAATTTTAACCACTGTTTATTACATTTAATAAGATTACGAGTTTATCTCTGTAAGTCATTTAAATTTTTGGGTTTGACAGCCTTCTATGTAACCTTCACAAAGCATTAAATGGCGGCGCGTTGGATGGTAACAATTCTTCAAAGTTTGTTGTGAATTCTTAAGATTTTGGATTTTCATCTTCATTCCTATACTTTGTGCAGGGATGATATTAATATAATGATGCGTATTAACAAAGGCATATCATCAAGCCTATAGCACATTTTACAACATAGGCATATATAAATATGTGTATATGTGTGTGTGTGCACGCGCTCGCACATGCTTACACTTATTACCGTTTCATTTTTCTTGTAAGTGACGAGAACTATTGAGGGGAAAAAAAAGTAATCTTAACATTGATAACTAGTTCACTTTAAATAATAATAATTTTATTTATATAAAATGACATAATGAACTCAATAGGAGAGTTTATGATTTTGAAGATTAGCGGTTTGAGCCTGGGATATTAAGTCCTCAATAGTAATTGATCCTCTCAACACCATGGACTACCATCGATCAGTCTCTGTTTTTCTATATATTATGTGAAAAGTGGCTGGCCAAATAAATAGTTTATGAGGTGTAGTGAATCTATCTATCTAATATACTAATAAAATCTGGTAATATCCGCTAATACTTAAATGGGTCGGGTTGCAAATCCATAATTTATTTGCTACCTAAATTTATTTCAGCTCCTACCCATTTGCAAAACAATGCTTAAATTCCTATGTCTCTTTCTCTCCTGCATCGGTTTCTCATGTAATTATATTGAGTTATTAATAATAATTCAATTCATTCAGCTTCATACAGATGACAGATCTACTATTTTTGTGGCCGAATCACCTAAATTTGTATTTGCATATGCTCTCTCTCCATATATATGTGCCTTATTTTTATTATTTTATTTCATATAAAAAACGTTATATTTTTAAAAGTACAAGGCAAAAGATTTGGGGAGGGGAGAAATGAGATTTTCTTGGAATAAAATGGACCATGAATACAACCCATATGAATCGGCTTTTTTTTTTTTTTTTTATCTTATGAAAACAACGTTATATTTATTAAAACACACAGAAAAATATGAATTTCAAGAAAAATATATCCTAATTGTTTCCATAAGAAGTGTCGAAGAATACAAATAGAATAATATATCCTAATTGAATCAAATATATAATACACTTTATAAAGATATTTCACTTATTTCAAATCTAATCATACGTAGTTACACCCCAATCTGTGCCTCACATGGGAAGAAGCTTCTAGTTCCTAAACAAAAGCTGTAAATGACATGAAGGAGGAGCCTTATTTACTTATTTTAACAATTTTAAAATCAAGAAAAGTGATTGTTAATTGCTAAACTAATTATAGTAAATAACTAGGAGGCGTTGTAAATAACTTTAACGAAGGGTCTCATTGATTTTAACCCTTTCGTTCTACCTCTTTATTATAAGCAATTTTTCATACACATTTGACACATATTTCCTAATTGCCTTTCATTTAAACCCTTTCCTTCTTATTTCCTCATTTATTTATGCAAGTCAGGAGCATTTTAGTGAAAAATTAATATAAGAAATAAGTATGATGTTTTTTTTTTTGACCTTGAAGTATGAAGTGGTTGATGTCTATACTCAAATATGAAGTTAAATAAGTGGTAGGCAACTATTTTGCTTTAATTAAGTTGGAATTAATGAACTCGTTGCATACGTTAAATTCTCCATTTCAAATATCTAAGGGCGATTAGTGCGATCAAATATAGGTCGAAAACGAACAAATGTAAGTCAATGCAAATGAACGTTGTGAAGTCATTGCAGGCACTTTGGATGCACTGTATTGTTTCTAGTTTATCACTTTATCTTTCAAAGACTACTGATGACTTGAATTTGGGTTATTGTGTATAAACTCATTGCACATGCTATTATATATTACCTCTGCTGTTTAATGTAAGAATTAATGTGACTTTTAATTTGATTTTAAATATAATATTTCAATCTATTTTTTTTTCATATTTATCTTTTTTTTTTAAATAGTCCTTGTAGTAGTTGCATATGTTAAAAGTTATATCAAATGAAAGATTTAGCTGATACACGTAATTAGCAAGGATATTCTAAGAAAGACGACACCTATTTATTACAAATAACTAATTCTTTTAATCTCTCCAAATTAGTCAATTAAATCTTATATTAAGGACTAGATGTGGTAGTTTCTACTCTACTATATATGTTTGAGTCAACCAACTCAACCTAATTCGGATGCATCATGTTGCTTCTAGTCCATCACTACTGTCTTTACCAAAAACTGACGAGAATTTCTATTACTATCTACCGTATAAGTAACTTTAACTAATAATTTTTTGAATTTTACCCATATTAAACGAGAATATAAAGGAGAGAGAAAATTTATAAAAGAGCTAATTTAAGCATTAATTGTAGGGAAATATTTGACAAATAAGTATTATTCATTAGTGACTTATATATATATATTGGATTACATTATTCTTTTAGAAATGACTTATGCTGTGGATCTAACGGGGCACAGGTATCAACTTATCACACACGTGATTGAAATGGATCCACTCCGTTTGACTCCGTCAACTCAGCTTAATTTGGATGCATGCATTGTATTGTTTCTAGTCCACTATCTTTCTCAAAGAATGACTGGAATCTGTGTCAATATAGTATCAGCTTAACGCACGCGTTATTGTATTGTTTCTTCTATTCTGTTTGACTCAGTCAACCCAACTTAATTTGGCTAGAGTTTCCAGCATGTTTGGCAAATCTTTATATTTCAACTTCAAAATGCGGTGGACCAGTGACAGGCATAGCGTCAATGCCCCATCTGAAATTTATATCGATTCTGCTAAACTAGATTTACGCGCACACATGTATGCATGTATGTTCTGGACATTATGGATAGGTAGAGTGTAGATGCTGCACTTTTATATGATATTGGAAGAGTTGTTTCGTATTGATAACTTAATTAAGATAACGTCATATTACGTGTTTCATATTGATAATGGAATACTACATGATTAATAAAGGTATTCATAGTTTGACATTTAATTTGGTTTTAAATATAAGAACACAATTCATTTTGTCTCTCATATTTATCTATTTTTTTAAAGTAATTCTTATAGTAGTTACACATTAAAGGTTTCATCAAATAGTAATTATAACTAATACATATGATTAATAAGGGTATTCTAAGAAAAAATAACACTTATTTATTACATATAGCTAACTTAACAAATTTTCTAAATCTATTCAAATTAGTCAACTAGTTTTTATACTAAGTACTGGAGGTAGTAGTTGTTTTAGAAGATGCAAAAGCCGAAGAGGTACTATATTTTCATTGAAGCCAGCTATTTATTAAAATCAAACATATTTATAAAGGAAAATATTCTTTTATTATTCTTTGGATGAAAAAAGTAATCGTCTGGAACGAGGGTTCAAAAGGGATCTCAAGATTATAACCCCTTCTTTCTCATATATAAGCAGAACTCAACCGCAATTGTTTTTATTCTCTTTTATAAGCAAATTTTCACACGCATTTAACACATATTTACTAATTCGCTCTCATTTAAACCCTTTCCTTTGTCCAAAAAACAAGTCCCTTTCCTTTTGCTCCCTCATTTATTTAAGCAAGGAAAATTAAAATTAAACAATGAGGTCAAGAGCATTTTAGTGAAAGAAAAATAATATAAGACACAAGTAATGGTTGACGTTTACTTATATTTGAAGACGGACGGAGTATGTGTTTGATTAGCGGTAGTTTTTCCTTCATGTTTTAAAGAAAACGCACCGCATTTTGATGTGATAGTAGGCAACTATTTTGCTTTAATTAAGTTGGACTTTAATGAACTTGTTGCATACGTTTAATTCAATCTGTCCCACTAGCTTAAAGCCTAGATGCATTCCTTTCAATCCAAATGGACGTTGTGAAGTACTCCTCTATTTCTATCTACGGAGTAAAGAAAGAAGACATTTTTTTTCTTATTTATAAGATAGTGAGAGAAATTTTTTTATATAGATTTATAATTTTACCATTCACTTATTATTGTATTGATTTTGTTTATATAAGGTATAATATATATTAAATGAGGATAAATTATAAAAAGTTGTTGAATTTTAAATGAGAATTAATCAAGTTTAAGATTTTTCTTTATCTATAAAACATGTTGAAATTTGCAAATTAAACACTGCACTCATTTTGGATGCACTTTATTGTTTCTACTTTCTAGTCTATCACTTTGTGCTTGTTTGGAGCCATGGCTTTTAAGGGTTCGTTTGGATCAGCGATTGGAAAAGCAGCTTATAGAAAAAGTAGCTTATGGAAAAGTGAAGTTGGTAAAAGTTAAATTGGATAAGCTGAATTGTGTTTGGATTGGAGTTCAGACAAGCTAGTTTACAAAAATGAGATTGGAAAAAGCTTGTTTGGATTATAGCTGAGTAAAAGTAATTTTGGCTGAAAAATTACCAAAATGAGCATGAGTTTTAATAAATAATGAAACATGATTAAAAAAATAATTTCACATAATACAATGAAATTACAATAATTTAATATGAAGAAGTCATAAAAAATATTTTAAATATAAAGTGAAACATGAAAAAATAAAAGTATATTTTTAGGAGCATATTTAAAAATAAAAATATATTTCTAACTTATTCATTACTTTCAACTAATTTTAATTGATTTTTTATTATCTACAAATTAGTTATTTGAGGTTTATAATAAGAACCAAAAGAAGTAATAAATTTCTTAATTTTTTCTCTCTCCATATTTCAAAAGCCATAAGCCATAAGCTATAAACCATAAGCTGTTAATTTTAACTTATAGCTTATTGTAGCTTTTCAGACAAAAGCCCGATTGCAAAAAAGCTGATCCAAACAGACTCTACTTTTGTCAATCGAGCTTATAGAGCTTATAGAGCTTATAAGCTACTTATAAGCTCCAAATAAGTGTTGCCAAACAGGCACTAAGTAGCTTTTAGGATTAAAAGTACTTTTAATATGTTGAGTGTGTTTGGAAGAGCTTAAAAAATCAAGACTTTATGCCAAATTCACATACTTAAGTCAAAAGCTAAAAATTGCAGCCTATAGTGTTGGAAAAGTGGAGAGAGAAGGATAAAATGTGGGTCCCATTTCTTTTACTTACACAAACTTACTTTACTCAATCATAATCCAAACAACTTTTTACTAATATCACTTTTATAAATTAACTTTTTTAAATTCTAATTCAAACACAATTTACCTTATCCAATTTAACTTTTATCCAATCTTACTTTTCTAAAAGACAGATTGAAAATGAGTTATTTTTTCCATCACCAATCCAAACGGGCCCTTTATCTTTCAAAGACTGACTGGAATTTGTGTTATATATTGTGTATCAACTTCTCACACACATTATTATATGCTACCTTTGATTTTTAATATAAGACCTAATTAGTTAATTTGAAAAAATTAAAAAAGTTACTAAATTATTTAATTATAACATATGTTATATGATTTTTTAAAATACTTACATATATTATTAGATTATATACATCATTTTATAAATGAAACAAATTAGTTTGGAAAAAATAATAAATATAAACAATTAAAAATAATTCAGTAACTTTTTTAATTTTTTTTTAAATTAGTTAACTGGTCTTATATATTATATTAAAGATGGAAGGTAATAGTTTCTATTCTACTGTATATGTCTCAGTGAGTCCACTCAACTTTCCTTGATGCATTGTGTTGCGCTTCTTGCCCATCATCACTGTCTGTCTTTCTCAAAGACTGACTAGAATTCGTGCTAATTATTATGTATCAGCTCATCGCACACGTCAAGGTCAAAAAAAACTTATCGCACACGTTAATGTAAGTGGCCTAGTCTCACCCTTTTGCTTTCTTATGTAACTGATCAGAAGTTTCGTTACATAGTTTCATGTATAATTAACATAATTTTCTATTCTTTTTTATCTTTAATGTCAAATATATTTTTAAGTCCATATATTTGATATGATTGCCTTAATATATTTTTATTCTTTATTTGCTTATTTATTGTCAAGACATATATTCCATGAGAAGGACGGATCCATATACCCATAGTATTCATCACTGTGTCTGAACTTGTCCTGGTCTACACGCGTCCCTTTCACCTCTTGTAAATATCAACAAATGAAATTAATGCAAGGGAATAATTGAGAACAAACTAAAGCTCCTATATATATTGCAGCAGGCACCATTTCAATATACGAATCCATAAAATCATTCACGCTATATCTTCTGCATAAAAAAAAAATTCATAAAAGAGTTATATTTAAGCATTAATTATAGGAACAAATTTGACAAATAAATATTATTAATTACTCTCTCTAAGTTATTTATATTTTGGATCAAGTTATTTTTCTAGAAACGACTTATATTGTGGATTTGACGGACTGCAGGTATCCACTTGTCACACACGTTATTGTATTGTCTCTAGATCCACACCGTTTGACTCCGTCAGCTCAACTTAATTTGGATGCATTGTAATGTTTCCAGCCCACGATCTTTCTCAAAGAATATAATGACAGGAATCTGTGTTTGTGTGTGTGTGTGTGTGTGTGTCAGCTTATCGTACTCGTTATTGTTTCTATTATGTTTGACTCAGTCAACCCAACTCAATTTGGCTAGAGTTTCCAGCACGTTTGGAAAATTTTATATTTCAATTCAATGCGCCATCTCAAATTTATATTGATTCTACTAAACTAGATTTATGTACACACATGTATGTATGTTCCGGACATTATGAATAGTAGGCAACTATTTTGCTTTAATTTTAATGAACTTGTTGCATACGTTTAATTCAATCTATCCCACTAGCTTGATGCTCAGATGTATCCCTAGTGGACGTTGTGAAGTAATTGCCAAGTAGACACGCCACTTAATTTGGATGCATTTTATTGTTTCTATTTTCTAGTCTATCACTTTATCTTTCAAAGGCTGACTGGAATTTGTGTTATATATTGTTTATCAACTTATCACACGTGTTATTACATACTAACTTTCTTACTTAATATAAGTCACAGTTGACTAGTTTGGACAGATTAAAAAAGTTAATAAATTACTTAATTAATTATAGTATATGATATATATATATATATATATATAAACTCTCTAAAATACTCCTGTGGTCCTTAGAATGTGGACCTAATTAACTAGTTTGGGTAGATTAAAGATATTAGTTAAATTAATTAATATGATATTTTTTTTAGAACACCCTGAACATTTTTCTTTATTATTAGTAGGGAATATAAATAGAGTTAATTTTAAAAAAATTAATAAAAAGAAAAATAGGTCATATATATATGACTAATATTAACTCCCAAATTAGGTCTTATATTAAGAATCAGAAGAATACTTATATATATCAATTTATAAATGAAGCAAAATAGTTTAGAGAACAATAATAAATATAAATATTTAAAAGTAATTTAATAATTTTTTTAGCTTTCTTAACTAATTTTTATATTAAAACCTCGAGATAATAGTTTCTATTCCACCATATATGGTTGAGTCGGTCCATTCAACATTTTGGACGCATTGTATTGCGCTTCTTGTCCGTCACTGACTTTCTCAAAGTCTGACTAGAACTTGCGTTATTTTGTATCAACTTATCTCACACGTCATTGCAGGGATCCATGTGCCCATAGTATACATCACTGTGTCTGTACGTGTTTTGGTCTACATGCGTCCCTTTCACTTCTTGTAAATCAACAAATGAAAGTAATGCAAAGGAATAATTAAGAACGAACTAAATCTCCTATATATATGACAGCAGGAACCATTTCAATATATGAATCCAACCATTCACGCTATATCTTCTGCGTAACCATGGCTTCTGCCTCCATTATTTCATTTTCATTTCTTTCCAAATACTACCTTCAGCCATTAATCCTTATCATCTTCATCTGCATAAACTTGCTTTGCTTCCAGCATGTCGGAGCTGCATCAAACGAGACTGATTATTTGGCTCTGCTCCAGTTTAAAGAATCAATAACTGATGATCCTCATGAAATTTTGAGCTCTTGGAATAGTTCCAACAACTTCTGCAGCTGGATTGGAATCACATGCGGCCACAAGCACAGGCGAGTCACCGTGTTGAATTTGGGAGGTTATCATTTGGGTGGGATCATATCGCCTCACATTGGCAATCTATCTTTCTTGAGATATCTCTCCCTCACAAACAACAGTTTTCATGGAGAAATCCCACCAGAGTTGGGACGTTTGTTTAGGCTAAACACACTCTTGCTCTCAAACAACTCATTGACAGGAGAGATTCCTTTGAACTTGACGAATTGCAATGAATTAAGGATCTTACATTTGCTAGGGAATAGCCTTACTGGTACGATAACATCCCAAGTGGGGGCTCTTCAGAAGCTTCAAAAGTTGCAGCTTGCTCTCAACAATTTAACTGGTGAAATCCCATTGTCTTTGCAGAATCTTACTTCCCTCACCTATCTTGCATTAGGCCGTAATAACTTTGAAGGAAGCATACCAGAAGAGATAGGCCACTTGAAGAACTTGGTATTTTTTGGAGCAGCAGAGAATAGTTTGTCAGGTGCTCTTCCTTCTTCACTTTACAATCTATCATCTCTCACTATGATATCAGTAGCAGCAAACCATCTCAACGGCACTCGACTTCCAAACCACTTGTTCTCCAGCCTTAATAATTTGAAATATTTTGCCATAGGTAGCAATCAAATTTCAGGTTTGATCCCAAATTCAATCACAAATGCATCATCACTCCAAATTTTTGATATTTCTTATAACAATTTTTTGGGTGAAGTTCCCAATCTAGGAAATCTAAAAGATCTACGAATGCTAAACTTAGCATATAACAATATTGGGAGCAATCGTGGCCTTGATTTCATTACAACTTTGAAAAATTGCAGCCAACTTGAAGTTTTAGCTTTGACCTCAAACATATTTGGAGGCATTTTACCCAGCTCCATGGGAAATTTGTCTACCCAACTCACTGGACTGTACCTAAGTCTTAATCAGATATCTGGTACTATTCCTGATACACTAGGAAGGTACACACTTTTAAGGACCTTGGATCTTAGCCGAAATGAATTCTCAGGCACCATTCCAACTTCTTTTGGAAATTTAGGCAAGATAAAATCATTATATTTAGGGGCAAATCAACTCTCTGGAGAGATAACTTTCTTAGGGAACCTCAGTGAATTGATCATACTATCAATTCCAGGCAATAAGCTTGAAGGAAAAATTCCTACCACAATTGGAAACATGAAAAGCTTGCAATTACTAGAACTTACAAAAAACAGCTTTAGTGGACCCATACCTATTCAGATCTTTGGCCTTTCCTCCTTGTCCATTTTCTTAGACATATCTCAAAACTCATTGAATGGATCTTTGCCTTCTGAGGTAGGAATGCTTAAAAACCTTGGCATTTTGGATATCTCTTATAATAACTTTTCGGGAGAAATTCCTTTGACCATAGGAGAATGTGAAAGTATGGAATACCTTAACTTACAAGGGAATTCCTTCAAGGGGCCCATGCCTCCTTCGGTGGCTTTGATGAAAGGTCTTACACATCTAGATATATCTCGAAACAACCTATCTGGGTCAATACTAATCAACCTAGAGAACATTTCTTCCCTCCAATACTTCAATGCTTCCTTCAATATGTTTGTTGGCGAGGTGCCAACTAAAGGGGTTTTCAGCAATGCAAGTGCGATATCTGTGATTGGCAATATTAATCTTTGTGGGGGTATTTCTGAGCTGCACTTACCAACATGCCCTAAGAAACTTGACACGCAAAGGAAACACAATTTGAAGCTCAAGGTGGTTATCGTGATTGGTGTGTCAACGTCTCTTTTATTGATATTTTTGTTTGCTTTCTATTGGAGGCATGAAAGAAACAAAAAATCATCTTCAACTTCACTTACAATTGAACAATTTCCCAAGGTGTCATATCAACATCTGCACATTGTAACTGAAGGTTTCTCTACCAACAATTTGATTGGATCGGGGAGTCACGGCTTAGTATATAAAGGAAAGCTAGAATTAGAAGATAAAGTTGTTGCAATAAAGGTATTAAACCTTCAAAAGAAAGGAGCTCAAAAGAGTTTCATTTCAGAATGTAATGCACTAAAAAACATGAGGCATCGGAATTTGGTAAGAATTTTGACATGTTGCTCAAGCATTGATTACAAGGGACAAGAATTTAAGGCATTGGTTTTTGAGTACATGTCAAATGGAAGCCTTGAAAAATGGTTGCATCCTAATCAAGAAAGTGCAGATCGATTAACACTGGATATTTCTCAAAGATTAAGTGTCATATATGATGTTGCCTCTGCATTGCATTATCTTCATTATGAAAATGAGCAATCAGTTGTCCATTGTGACTTAAAGCCAAGCAATGTCCTTCTTGATGATGACATGGTGGCTCACGTGAGTGATTTCGGGTTAGCAAGACTACTTGCCACCCTTCATGGCAGTCCTCAAAAGGAAACAAGCACATCTGGACTAAAAGGGACAATTGGTTATGCTCCTCCAGGTACAACTTATTATTATTTTGGCTTAAAACTCTTGTAAATAACATTTCTTTTATAAAATCTTTAGTTTTTTATTTGAGACAATGAATTTTTAAACATTAATCATAGTCTAATGTATTTCAGAGTATGGAATGAGTTCTGAGGTATCAACTCAAGGTGATATGTATTCTTTTGGTATTCTTATCTTGGAAATGTTAACCGGAAAGAGACCTACAGACCCAATGTTTGGAGATGGCCATAATCTTCATAGCTACATCAACGCTACATTTCCAAACAATCTTTTGGAGATTGTGGACAAAGCTCTTGTACCTCAACAAATACAACAGACAGCAACGGGAATTGGAGGAGAAATCAGGATAGAGGAGGGGGCTCATATGCATCCCAACCATGAGAGGACTCTTATTTTACTATTTGAGATTGGACTTGCTTGTTCAGTGCAACCTCCAAAAGAAAGGATGAACATGATGGGTGTTCTAAGAGAACTAAATCAAGTGAAAAATGCTTTTGGTCTTGGGGAAAGAAGGCGAAATTGACTGCAACGTCAAAGAATGAGCCTCAAATGTCACTTTGGATGTGTTATTATAAATTTCTGCCCTCATAAAATTCCTCACTTTCCATGAATTATATTTCAATCTCATATGTTCAGTCATGACTTTTCTTTTGTGAACGAAGAAAAGTCAATGAACGTGCTAGAATAAATTGTCACTTTGGTAGGTGAATCAGCCGCTTCTTCAATGCCTAAATTGCTATCACTGATGTTTCTCGGGAGGAATATAACCATACTAAATTTTTTTTAAAATCAAGACTTCTTCTAAGTCAAAAACCACTGCACTCTGTTGTACGTGCCACTCTGTATCATGTTTTTTTTTTAAAAAATTTTGCTGGAACTCTATATATATGATTTAATTGATCACACAAAATGTTACCAAAGTCTTGTATTCCTTAGAAAATCAAATTGGAAGGGAAAATGTTAAACTTTAAGAAACCAAAAAATTGAATATGCAATAAATATAGATGTGGATGGGCGTCTCTGCTCTCACTATGTTTCTGGGCACCTCTGTTTTGAGTCATGAATTTTTTCTTCCTTTCCTTTTTTTGTGAATATAATGAGCCTTGTTTTTACAAAGAAGGGGGAATTTCAACAGGAGAGTCTATGATTTTGATGATCAGTGGTTTGGACTTCGGGATATTTTAAGTCCTCAATAGTACTTGAACTCCATAGACTACCATCGACCTCTGTTTTTCACATTTTTCCTCTGCTATGCTGTTTGCGTGCTAATTTGGGCTATTGCAACGAAATTAATGTTAGCCATTTTTTTATCCATTTTTATGCAACGAGAAGTCATTTACTTTTCTATTTAATTAAATTAAATATTAGTTTTAAGAAAATAATAAACTAATTTACTGCTAATATTTTTTTTTACAGGATAGAAAATTTGTCTTGATTCTTTTAATAAGAATTTACGTACAAAATATCTACTGCACTAAATTTTTTCTTTTAAAAAATGCTCTTAATTACTCCACACTGAATTAATTAGGGGGAAATAAAGTAAGAGAGTGAGGTCTGGTAGTTTTGTCAAAATTTTCATATAAATTGTTGATAAAATTAATGTAATTAACTAAAATAACTATTTTTCTAATTCTTTGCCCATGATTGTTTATTAAGCCAGCTACTTTTCACATAATAATAGACCCACAGGCATTTGAATCCAGTATATTTTATGTTCCTTGAAAGTGATGTTTGTTTGGCCAAAAAAAAAACAAAGAAAGTGATGTTTGAAATGTTAATTAGAATATTGGCCTATCACATTCTTTATTTATTTATTTTTATGCTTCTCGTCTATTTGCATTTTACATATAAGTCATGGGTGGGTGACCTTATCCCCATTGCTTAACTTAATATTTTATTACCTGCATAAGTGGATGGATGACCTGAGATATTAGTTTTCTGGCAAAATAATTGTGAGTAATTAATTTGTTCCTTTTGTTCAAACCTCTATGTTTCTTTCTCTTTGGTTAAATTTATTATTTTTAGTATTTTTATAGAATCAAAGCAATATAACTTTTATGGAGAATCCCAATTAAATCGAACTAAAATACTAAAATTTTAAGTTAAACCTACACATTTAACAAATTCATAATCAACTTAAGAGGCCAAATTTAAGATTTCTAAATATTGTTAAAAGTCTAGAATACACTTAGGTAGTTAAAAAGAAAAATTAAAAAGATATGTAGGCCTAATTTTGGTTTTAATTATTTCAGTTAGATTTAATAAAGATTTTTTTATTTTTTTTTTTTTATAAAAAAAATAAATATTTATCTAGATATATTTAATGCGTAATATAAAATTATTTTTTTAAAAGTTGAACTGTCATTATAAAAACACTAAATAATAAAAACATGCTGTTGAAAATTTTTAAGTGTATGTATGTTATAGTGCCCAAAGGTGATTAGTGTGATACTACCTCCATTCCTTAATATAAAATCTAGTTGACTAATTTAAAAAAATTAATTAAATTATTTTAAAATATTTATATTTATCATTGTTTACCCAAACTAAACTAATATAGAAATATGGGATGTCTTGACCCTGCCATAAATTTCTTCGCGTTCTTTTTCTCTTCAGAATGACTTCCACCGACAAATATGTCATTAGCATTAGCAATGCTCTTGGAGGAAAACAGTTCAGGGAACGATTCATCAAATTCTTCTACAGTACATTTTTTAAACTAGACACGTGTCATAATTTAATTGAAAATTAATATAATTTTTATTAATCAAATGCATGTGTCTTTTTATTGAAAGTTTATCTACGGTACTAGCCTATACTAAATATATGATCTCGTGGTAAAGATTTGAACCTAATCCGTATTGGTTAAAATTGAAATAATTTTTAATCCTACATATATATTTCTAAGCAATTTTTTAATTAGACAATTGTGAAAGCTGAGAAAACGTAATGAATTTAATACTAATATTCTTTTTTGCCATAAAAAATTAATACTAATCTAAATGCTAACAAAATAAATAAGCGCACAAATTCTCCAAGCAAGGTACTTGATTCAATTACTTTGAAGATTTAAAAAGCCAATCTGCACAAACCTTGACAAAGAGTTCTCGCAATAAAATTAATAAATGAATGAAATCCTTTCTTGTTTTTCTATTTCCGGTTCAACTTAACCAATCATCCTATTTATTTCACTGACTTATTTTTTCTTTGAATTATTTCTACTAGATGTGACATCTTTCATTTTCAATTTTAATTCGAAGGCCGTGGCCAGGATGGCTCATTTGAGTGCTCAACAAATTGACAGAAAAACGATCTGGTCCTCCCACCTTTGTAAGTGTGTCAGATGCTTCAAGATGATTGTTCAGGAATAAGTATCATGCGTAGATTGACTATGTAATTTCTTGGGTTAAGCCAGTTGTTTGAAATTCGCAGTTATTGTGTGTGCTTTTCGTCAACACGCATTCGCTTTCTGATCAATATCAAAAGACTATTTTAAGCCGTTCATACTTCTCAGTCCCCTTCACTTCTTCAGTTCACTCTAGTTGTAGTAGGTTATTTAAGATTGAATTGGAATAGTTTATAAGTAATTTTTTAATCGTGATTTACATAATACAAAATAAATATGTGAAAGAAGTTTTGTTCAAAACATGGTGAGTGCAATCAAACTTCCATCACATGCAATTGGTTTTCCATATGTGAAACTAAAATTTCTAAATGTGCAATTGATCTTTTTTTTCTCTGCTCTTGTCTATTTCTTATTTATTAAACTTTAAGAGCATTTGTGCCTTTTCATTATGAAACTTATTTACACTACAGGATTTTAATAACTCTCCAGATTTCAGGTACCGTTCAGCAAATAAATTTCTAAATGGGGATTTGTCCCCAATTCTCCCCATAATTTTTGTAATTATCTTTCATATTTTATAAATTGATTAACAAGTCAACTTCTTAAATTTCTAAATCATGCTTTTAAATTCATAATCGGATCCCCCTTTCCTCCGAAAACCTTCCAACCAAACATTATGTAAGAATTCTTTAAAATATGCAAGTCATTCTTTTGGTATTCTTATTTTGGAAATGTTAACTGGAAAGAGGCCAACAGACCCAATGTTTGAAGATAGCCATAATCTTCATAGCTACATCAAATCTGTATTTCCAAACAATCTTTTGGAGATTGTGAACAAAGCTCTTATATCTCAAAAAATACAACAGACAACAATAGGAATTGGAGGAGAAATCTGGATGGAAGAGGTGGCTCTTATGCATCCTAATCATAAGAAGACTCTAATTTTGCTATTTGAGATTGGACTTGCTTGTTCAGTGCAATCTCCAAAAGAAACGATGAATATGATGGGTGTGCTAAGGGAGCTAAATCAAATTAAAAATGCTTTTGGTCTTGGGGAAAGAAGTCGAAATTGATTGCAAGGTGAAAAGATGAGCCTGAAATGCCACTTTACATATGTTGTTGTTATAAATTTCTGCCTCAAAAAATTCCTTACTTGTCGTGAATCATATTTCAATCTTATATCTTCAGTTATGACTCTTCTCTTATGAACGAAGAAAAGTCAATGAATGTGTTAGAATAAATTGTCACTTTGGTAGGTGAATCAGCTACTCCTTTAGTGTCTAAATTGCTATGACTGATGTCTTTCTCGGAGGAAATATAACTATAATAAATTTTTTGAAAATCAAGACTTCTTTTAAGCACTGAAGCTATCATTGATGCTGTATTTCTTTTTTTTTTTTTAAAAAAAGCATGTTTTAAAATTGTGACCATCAAGAATCATAAGCAATTGCTTTTAGTAAAAAAGCGACTCTGAGATATGCACCACTCTATATCATTTATTTACTTATTTTGCTGGAACTCTATATATATGGTTTAATTGATTAGAGAGAATGTTATTAAAGTCTTGTGTTCCCTAGAAAATCAAATTGAAAGGGGAAGATGTTAAACTTTGAGGAAGCAAAAATTTGAATGTTTAATAAATATAGATGAGGATTGGCATATCTGCTTTCACTCTGTTTCTGGGCACCACTGTTTTGAGCCTTGCGTGTTTTTTTCCCCCCCTCTCGTTTTCATGAGTATAATGAGACTTGCTTTTATCAAAAAGGGAGGGATTTTAATAGGAGAGTTTATGATTTTGACGATCAGTGGTTTGGACTTTGGGATATAGGTCCTCAATAGTAATTGAACTCCACAGACTACCATCAGTCTCTGTTTTCCACATTTTCCCTCTGTTATGCTTTCTGTCAGTTAATTTGGGCTATTGCAATGGAATTAAACTTAGGCACTTCTTAGCCATTTTTATGCAACATAGAAGTCACTTACTTTACTCATTTAATTAAATTAAATATTAGTTTTAAGAAAATAATAAACTAATTTACTGCTGCTAATATTTTCTTACAGGGTAGAAAATTTGTCTTGATTCTTTTAATAAGAATTTACTTACAAAATATCTACTGCACTAAATCTTTTCTTTTAAAATGTGCTCTTAATTACTCCACATTGAATTAATTAGGGGGAAATAAATTAAGAGAGTGGGGTCTGGTAATTTTGTCAAAATTTTCATATACATCGTTGATAAACTTAATGTAATTAACTAAAATAACTATTTTTCTAATTCTTTGCCAATGATTGTTTATTAGGCCAGCTACTTTTCACATAATAATAGAGCCATAGGCACTTGAACCAAATTTGAATTCAGGATATTTTGTGCTCCTTGAAAGTGATGTTTGAAGTGTTAATTAGAATATTGGCCTAACACATTCTTTATTTATTTATTTTTATGCTTCTGGTCTATTTGCATTTTGCATAC